GATAAGCGTTGGCTTCTAATTAAGAGCTCAGTTTGTCACGTTCTCGTCATAGATATGACCCCATTCAGTGTCATCAGTCTGCATAGCACTCTAATGGCCTGTCTCAACTAACATCGATATATTTAGTATCACGCATAATGACTATGATCACTTTTAATCTTTTCGTTGGAGTATGATTATAAAATCTTATCAGGCTAGCTGAGTATGGTCTAGAAAGCCTTTTAGTTACTTTGTTCTAACCTCGTTTCAGGAAAGAAAATTCATTCTTCAGATGAAGAGTTACAGCCTAGAGTGTTTTAAGCATAATCTCAGATTATTCTAAATGATTTAGACATCAGACTGCCAAGCAATATGTTCTATAAACAAACGAGAGTATATAATGTATTTGGTCCATGTTATTTCTCTCCACTTCCCGTAACCAATTATATGAAATAAATAATGACAATAATTTACTGGAAAGACATTTATATAATGTATTTCCAATGATTTTCTTTAAGTAATAACCGTAATTCTTCTACTGTGGTGTGAGCTACTGATATCGTTATAAGTAGTATATATGGTGAGTAAGGAATAGAATATCTGACAGCAGAAGATTGAGAAGATCAAGAAGAGAAGAACAGAAATAAAAAACAATTTGTGTGGAAATCCAGGAACAATGAAGTCTGAGGCAATTGAAGAACATTTTGCAAATAGTGTATCATAGCATGGTTTTTGTATTTTACCAAGTAACGTTGTAATTTGCGCTAAATACATAGTTGGTTGTCCTCACCCGTGTTCTCATTCACAACATTTGGTGTCGCTGCCTCCAGGGATGAAGATTCCATGGCCGAAGGAATTTGAGGACGGGGATGTGCTGAGCTTCCTGAAGGAGTTCGAAGCTGTGGCGGAGCTGGTGGGGGTGAAGGAGCCGAAGGCGAAGACGGTGGTGCTGGGGACGCTGCTGAGAGGCAGAGCGAAAGCTGTATATGACAGCCTGGACGGTGCGGGCGGTAAGACGACATGGGAGGCAGTCACGGAGCGGTTGACCGTGGAGTTCGATAGCCCAGTGGACAGAGAGGAAGCACTGCAGAAGTTCCGAGTGGCGAAGTTGCCGATCGATGGTGATCCGCTGGTGCTGGCCGTGGAGCTTACCAAGTTGCTGCGTCGCGCGCTGCCAAATCTGGATGAGGAGTCGGAGGCACAGTTGTTGGCGTCTCAGTTTATCGAGAGCGTGCCTGTTGCCGTTTCCCAGCAGCTGAGACTGGTACACGCCGCGCAACCTATGGATATCAGTGAGCTTGCAAAGGTGACGCGACAGTTGATGACACAAACAGTAGCTCCGGTCGCGTGCGGAAGTCAGGAGATAAGCATCATTGAGAAGAAGATTGAAGAACTGCAGCACGAGATTGCGGCATTACGAGTGATTCGGAAAAGGAATGATAAGTGTTTCGCATGTGGAGGGACAGGACACTGGAAGATAAACTGTCCAACACGACGAAAACGGAGATATTTTAGACGTTACGTGTTTCCTTCTTACTCTAGGGATCTGGGGGTTGTTGCATTAGTAGATAGAGGGGCAGTCTATGCAAGAGTGAACGTAAATGAACTAGATTTAGTGTGCCTAATCGATACAGGGGCAGCAGTTTCGTTAATAGGTAAAGAGCAATGTAAAAGTTTTAAGCCGTGTAAAGTCGCAGTTCACACTATAGGAGGGCATATGTTAGAGGTATTGGGCGTGTCTAACAGTATCGTAAAAGTGGATGGTTCGGAGATAAGTTTTCCGTTCGTGGTAACCGCAAACCTGTCGAGACCAATATTAGGAGCAGATTTCCTAAGAGAAGTAAAAGCCATAGTTGACCTAAGAAGCGGTAAGGTGGTCACGAAGTACGGTTCATTCTCAATACATGAAAGTAGTGAGGTGGCTGAGGTTAGAGTGGCAACAGCCGTTGTGACGAAGAAACCAAACATAACCGAGTTGTGCAAAAAGTATGCGAAACTGTTTACTGGAGAATGAGAACCGTACGGATTTTGCGACAAAGTAAAGCACGAAATCCCGATAAAGAACAATGGAGGAAGTATATTCACAACACGTCGTGTCCCTGTGCACTTAGAGGCTGAAGTAAATCGACAGGTCCAAGAGATGCTGAAAGAAGGAATAATTGAGGAGGCGGACAGCCCGTATAGCTCACCGGTACTCTTGGTAAAGAAACCGAATGGGAAATATAGATTTTGTGTTGATTTTAGAGAACTGAATAATATAACAGAACTAAAGCCGTGTGCAATGCCAACAGTAGTGGAAACATTAGATCGGCTGCAGAATGCCACGGTGTTTACAGTGTTGGATTTGCGGTCAGGTTATTGGCAGCTGCCTATAAAAGAGAGCGATCGAAGCAAGACAGCAGTTACCATACGTGATAAACAATATCAATTTAGACGAATGCCGTTCGGATTGGCGGGCGCACCTTTTACGTTCAGAAGATTAATGTCGCTACTGCTCAGGGATCTGGATAACGTCGAAGTGTATGGCGACGATGTAGTCGTATACAGCCAGACAGAAACAGATCATGTCAAGCATGTGGAAGCGGTCCTAAAGCGAAGTGAAGAATTCGGACTTCGAATTAATAAGGACAAGTCACAGATGGCGAAAAGTAGCATCACGTTGTTGGGGCATAAAGTGGGAAATGGAGAAATAAAACCGCTGCCGGAGAAAATTCTGACTATAAAGAACGTTGCAGTACCGAATTCGAAAAGGAAATTGAGACAGTTCCTGGGAAGGGCGGCGTTCTACAGTCGGTTCATCAAGAATTTCAACGAAATAGCAGCACCCCTTTATAAGTTGTTGAGTAACACTAAATTTTCGTGGACTGAAACCGCCCAACAAACGTTTAATCAAATCAAAAACATGCTGGACGACCGCCAGATGACGCTCAGACTGCCCGAACTGGAGAAACCGTTTACAGTGACAACAGACGCAAGTGACCATGGTATAGGTGCCGTTTTAAGTCAGTCTGATAGAGTAGTGGAATACGCAAGTCGCGTTCTCACGCCTGCCGAACAGAAGTATTCAACGATCGAAAAGGAGTGTTTAGCGATTGTGTGGGCAGTAGACAAGTGGAGACCATATCTGTTAGGTAAACGATTTCACATCGAGACTGACCATAAACCTCTGCAGTGGCTACAAACAGCACGAGACCCACGTGGGAAGTTGGCGCGATGGATGATACGTCTGCAGGAGTATGACTTCAGTATCGGGCATGTTCCAGGGAAGGAAAATGTGATGGCGGACTATCTGTCAAGAACAGACATGGAAGCCGAGCTTCCATTGACAGCATACGCAGTGAACAGTATAGAGGGAGACCCACTAGAACTCGTCCGGCAACAGAAATCTGATCCTAAACTGCGAGAGGTAATCAGAGTGATAAGAGAGGGGGCAGATTTTGACAAACGAGCAATGGACAAGGAGGCAATAATGTTGCTTCGGCAAAAGGAAAGACTGAAAGTGAGCACATATGGAGCTCTGGTCTGGCAGGATGATGACAAAAATTGGGTGGCTGTGATCCCGAAAGACTGGCGGCGTAAGATGATACACGAATGCCATCAGGTAGCGCACACTGGTATCGCAAGAACGACAGATTTACTACGGCAAAGTGCATACTGGCCAGGCATGAGAGACGATGTGGCCCAATATGTGTTGAGGTGCCAGCAGTGCCAATTAATGAAAAGCGATAGATCCATGCAACCGCCATTGCAGTCGGTCCCAGTAACCACAGTTGGTGATCTATGGTCGGTAGATGTGATGGGACCATTTCCACAGACGGATAGCGGCAACCGATACTTACTAGTTATGACGGAACATGCTACACGATGGGTCGACGCTGTACCGATTGCCGACCAGCGGGCGAAAACAGTGACCGAAGTAATAATCCGGCACATTGTAGCAGGTCATGGAGTACCGAAGATGATACTAACCGACCAGGGTCCCTGTTTTGAAAGTGACGAGTTTAAGGCCCGTTTGAAGCAGTTCGGTATCAAGAGGATACGAACTACACCGTATCACCCTCAGACGAATGGGCTTACGGAAAGAAACAACCGGACATTAAAGGAATGGTTAGCATCTAAAGGAGGGAATTGGGAGAAAGAGTTACCACTAATTTTGCTGGCGCATCGTGCCTCCATCCAAGGAACAACTAAGAAATCACCTTTCCTACTTATGTATGGTAGACAGCCACGACTTCCTATGCATAATATGACGTGGCCACAGCAGCAGAAGTGGACGGCAACAAGATTAAGGAAAGAGAGGACGGAGGCAATAAAGAACGTGAAAAAGAAACAAATATCAGACACCAAGAAGGTGGAACAGCAGAGAAGAGCATGGAAGCCTTTTAGAGTGGGGGACCTGGTAAAGTGTAGAGAACGGAGAGCTAACACTGAAGGGGGACCAGGGTCAGGAAAGCTGACCCCGAAATGGGAGGGACCGTACATTATCACGGAGAGACGCGGCCCAGTTTACACGATCTGGAGAGAAGACAAGCAGAAGCGTGTAAATGCCAGTCAACTACAGAGATGGTTTCAGGAACATCATGAGCACGAGTCACGAACAGCACCAAAGGAGACAATGGTACGGCGATCAGAAAGATTGCGAGAACAGCTTATTAAAAGGGGGGACGAGTGTGGTGTGAGCTACTGATATCGATATAAGTAGTATATATGGTGAGTAAGGAATAGAATATCTGACAGCAGAAGATTGAGAAGATCAAGAAGAGAAGAACAGAAATAAAAAGCAATTTGTGTGGAAATCCAGGAACAATGAAGTCTGAGGCAATTGAAGAACATTTTGCAAATAGTGTATCATAGCATGGTTTTTGTATTTTACCAAGTAACGTTGTAATTTGCGCTAAATACATAGTTGGTTGTCCTCACCCGTGTTCTCATTCACAACACTACTACACTACGGCTTTTGTTTTGTTGTTCCAGTTATCTACATACTGATAAACATTAAATGAGCGTTTATTTGTCCAACGATGCTTTTACGTCTTATATATCTTTCGTTATTTATAAGTTTTATTTACTCAGAATCGTGTCGAGAAGTAATTGCCTGTCCATATTTTAAACTTAATTTCCGTAGAATGACTTGCAAATAAAAAGCACAAGTTGTGATACCTCTGGAAATAGATGGCTTTTCAAAATACCAAAAGATGATAGAACATGTGACATAAACGACTTGAGTTTACCAAGAAAAGTAGATAATTGTGGTAAGAATGTTTTGATGTTGCTTCAGTTATCCCAGAAATAACTTGTCCAAGTGGAATGCATCTTAATTTGTTGTCAGAGAACTGTGAGGTCTGTCCATCCGGAACGTATTCAACAGGTGATATGCTTGAAGTAACAAAATGGGATTCGATGCCAGATTTTCTGACCTCTGATACAACTTATGGCAGTTTATCTAATGTAAAATGCAACTTGTGAGTTTTTAAATTTTAAGCAATGATATATCTTAATACATTCATCTTTATTTCATGTATTGTATAGAGCAATGTTCATAAGTATTTATGAATCTTGTACACGCAAAAGACATTTAACATTTAGTTATCATAAAAAAGGTGACAAGTGATCTGCCATGCACGTAATTTGACTAATATGGGGGATTGACTACAGGGTGCCACTGAGTGTCTTTGACTTCTTTACCACTCAACCTTTAGTGAAGCTCAGTTGTGAATACTTCCTTGGAATAATTTAGCAAGTTTGACTGTTCTGCTTGTTGATATAATATACAAAGGGATGATAATGTAAGAACTCAAATTGACATTCAACGCAATTGCTTTGATCAAATTTTATTCGCTTAGTATTTCGAGAATACAACTGGTTTTCTAACTTTACAATTAGCTATAATCGAAACCTTCTTGGCCAAATAGAAATCAGAAGTCAGACGAGAAGAGGTAGGAAAGATATATTTGATACGTTACCAATATATCGAGAAGCGTTCGTTCTTAGCTATCTAATGAAACGTAGGAGCTGTACCCCACGCCGTGTTGAAACGTGATCTGGTACGGATGCATGACCGAATGCCTTCAGTCAAACAAGTCCACTTAAACAACGTGGTCAGCATACAATGTCGAACAGTTAGAAAGCTATTGATTTTGGGGAATTATTTACAGTTACAATTTCAATAATTCTCTGTCTACAATCCATCACCATCGTCGTGACTTATTTCACCAACATAATGTTTATGTAAATTGAATATTAGAATCACACTGATGTACCATTTCTGTACATTTTCTAGTAAATATATGCCGGTTTTGACCACTATTCCCCTTTTTAAAACTTTACCCATGCATACATGGTAACGCCAGGGTTAACGTTTTAAGAACTGTTGTTAAAACATGTTGATAGCAGTAAATATCTTAATTGAGTGAAGTATTTTGATTCTACGATTGTTTTCATGAGCAGTGGTTTTATTATATTCAAGTCAAATAGAAGCTGTAGTTGGCTTAAAAATTGCTAGCTTTGTTGAATTATCTGCTACAAATAGGTTGTTGAGGGGCAAGTGAAGACGTACAACTATGCATCTGACTGAACTTTGAAGTCATGGTTGTGAAAAAGTATTAATAACTGAAGAAAGACTTGCAGAACTGTAAGAGTTAGTCTAAAGGTCTAATTAAAGTCAATTAGGAGTTACTTAATCTTGGTGTTCTGAATCTGAAATAAAAAACATATTACATGTCTAGAAAAGACAGTAATTCGTATCTGCCATGGGAAATGTCTACTCGCTTGTACGAAACATATAATGTATAGAATTGTCGGCAGTACTGACAGATTTTTATTTTTGTTCTGACTTCTTGAAAAACTTTGCACGATTGCTATTAACTTATTGTTCTGAATTATGCTGTTTTTACTTCGGTTTCTCGCTTTCAGATTTTAAATTTTTTAAAGATGTTTTGAGACTAATTTTAGACTTTGAAAGAAAGCTATTAGTGCTTTCGTAAAATTGATTTATATTTTTAAATTGATCATACCTTTAAAATCCTTTTTATTTTGAGATTTTACATTCCATAATCACTTGGTTTTTCATTTCATCAACCTGTATAGCCAGTTAGTTAGAATTTGTTTAGTGCATTCATTCGCCTTGTTGCAACGAACAATATTCATAAAGCTAAAGAAAATAAGAAACATGAGAACATTTTAAAACAGCTGTTATTTAGAACAACGTAATGAAAGAGTTGTGAAATATTTGGAGAACAAGTTTTGCTAAGAGTTATCAATATAAGCATTTTATTAACTAAATAGGAAGTAGCGAAGCAAGTGATAATGATGGTAAAATGTTCTTCGGAGGACTCGGTAATTCTGTACAAATTTAAAAAATATATGAACTTACCAGGTTCACGTGTTGTTTACAAAGCAGAGTTTAATTTAATTTTGGCCGCCATCCAATCAAGATAATGTCAATCAGTCTGTATATGATTTCCGTATTGCAGGTTTACAAATTGATCTACGTTGAAGTGTATAGCTAATGTTTAAAATGTTTTGAATTCATTTCAATTTGTTCTTAGAACTGGTTGGTCACCTCAAGGTAAACACTTGGTTGGAAAAACCACAGACAGTTGCACCGTGATACTTTCAATGAAAGTTTATAACCTTAAGCCTGGAACAATAACGTTTACATATCAAATTCAAGAATATGGAGGATTGGCTTTCTTTATTGTGAGTAATAAATGTGTGATGCATATATATATATACTCGTTTGATGAATTTGGTTGCTTGATTTTGTACTGCCTGTAGCTCCGGTTGTATAGAGTTAGAATCGTTTGTTGGTTAACGTTCTCCAACTAAACTCACATTCTATGCCGAAAACTTGTTATTTGAAATAAAAATATTTCCGAACGGACTATGTGTATTATAATACGGTTGATTTATCTACTGGCTTGGTCGTACATACCTAACCAGATAATAACTTAACTTGTAATGGATTGAATTATTTCGATGTTGATATTTCGAACAAAATTTTATCAGTCTTAGTTGAAATATTTATTTCTCAAGAGAATGACTTTAATATTGTCACTTTAACAAAGTGTTCTGGAGTGGACGTCAAATCTGGGATGGCGGTACATCCAGCTGACGAGTACCGAACATGAAGAAATCCATTTGTTTTTTAGCCGCATTCTATCTGTTTTAGCAAAATAATGTTTTCTTAGTTCCTGCTTTCTAGTATAATAAACTTAAAGAAAAATTTAAAATCATCAAAATAGTTTATCGAAGATGACTCGATAGAGACTTTTGTTAAATAGAATAGCAAAAAGGTATCTTGAAAAAAATTAGGTGATTTTAGTGTTTCGTGAAAAATCGTGGTACAAACCTGGCCACTCTAATTGGAACATGTGAAACAATTGATGTGGATCGGAAACTAATCATTAATTCAGTTATTGAACTTAATTGCTATTCGGACGATCATATCACAATGTACACCTTTATAATAAAGCCGAAGGCTAATTAATATAGACATTCATCTTCAATAGTAGAGTTAATTAGTGATATATTAACAAAGTCATGAAAATAAAGTACCTGATTGAAAACAATTGAGAAGTTTAATATTGCTTACTACTTACTTACCTAGTAAGTATCGGAACATTTGACACTTTACTATCGACTTATATATTCACAAACACCCCAATAAAAAGAGGGCTCAACGCTGCCTCTGGTCACAGATTGGTCACCATCGATGATGACTAGAAATACAATCTGAAAAACACATAATCTCAAACTTGAGACTACTATTCTTCTGGGAAAAAATATAGAATACGTTAGAGTTTAGAAAATAGGTTTCTATGGACTAAATTAATCATAATTCAATTAGATGTCTATTTGTAAGCCCAGATTTTGGTATTCTAAGGAATTAGGGATTAAGATACATGTACATTTTAGCGGACAACTACATATATTGCACTCCTAATATCAAAAGCCTCTAGTTTTATATTTAATCCACCACCGAAGAACTGTATTTAAATAACTGGACACTTCTATTAATTTTGTTCAGACAGTATTACTTAAAATGATTTATATTGCTATACAGTGTTGTGTACATCAGTAGTTTACCAAGTAATTACAATTAAAGATGGTGACTAAATTTAAGCAGGCTACATCATATCCGCTCAATATGAATAACCATTCAACATAAACTAACAACTTAATTTAAAGAATTAATTCTTGAGATCATAATCTATGAAGTGAATGATCTAGAATATATGTGTAAGAACAAATAAAAAATATTACCAAGATGACATAAACATAACATTAGATTGTATGGGCGCATAAAACATAAAATAACAATCACTATGCTCTAACCCTAGTATTCAATTGTAACACATGGATATAAATCCTTATCAACATACTGAATTCTATCTCTTTAAAGGTTAATGAATACACAATACTGATAAGTTGTTTAATAAGATGAAATTATTTAGAACAATCTTTTCTTCACAAGCATTGTAAGCAAAGATGGATAGTGGCTAGCAGTGTAATCCAGGACGCACGTTTCGTCCTATTTGGGACTCGAACCCAGTACCCTCGCTTCAAATGCCATCACGTTATCCACTCGGCCACTGAGTCCTGATAGCCACTTGCTTGTGCAATGGGGTGAAGTTTTAAATTCATTTAGTATTGTTCGTTTGAATCTTCCCATTGATATTTAGGACTGCAACTGGTCAGTGAAGTGAATTTAATCCTCCTTTTTTAACTGTTGATTATCTGTAATTTTAGTTACTACCCTTAAATCTCAAAAAAACTTTTCAGGGCTTAACTACAGTTTTATTTAGAAGAAAGGAATTTTAAAAAAAATCAAACTTATCTATGTAATTATATTCTAGTTATGAATATTCATAATATAAGGGTGAATTTATTGTTTTGTCTTTTTTATATAATGCGGTTGTATTCTTTGTTTATATATATATGTATACATTGAATTTAAATGATGTTATATGAATTTTAAAACAATCAATTTTGATATAAATTTGATCAGGGTAATTCGATTTATTATTATTATTACTTTATTATAAGATGTAATTTTTTTTTAAAAGTGACCTTCAGATGTAAATGTTTTATTTTGAATATTAATTCAATAAAAGTAAGAATTCAGTACAAAACTAAGAATTCAATGGATTTATGTTTCTTATGATAGGTTTTTTTGAAAGCTTATTGATTTAATTTTGATAACTTTTGAACATGTAAAGTCCATCATCTATTCCATATGGTTAGTTAGTTGAAAATCGAAAAATTGGGGGCCAAAAACCAGATTAAATAACATTGAAAGTTTAATCAGTTAACTGAATGAAGATAAATGAATGAAGAATAAATAATAATGACGAAATATTTGTGCTGAGATTTAGATTTTTAAAAAATACATACGTTTTAGGAATTACAGTGTGATAAACTTGATAAGCATGGTAAGCAGCTGACGAGTCCCAAATAGGACGAAACGTGAGTGCTGGATTCCACTGCTGGCCACTATCCATTTCTGCTTACCATGTTTGCAGTTATTTCAATGTCTGACTTCAGTGCTTCTGCTGGTATATTGTCAGGTCCTGCGGCCTTCCCACTTTTGATTTGTCTGATGGCCATCTTGACTTCTTCGATCGTTGGTGGAGTGACATCTATTAGAAGGTCTGTGTGGTCTGCTTCGATGTTCGGTGGATTCAATGGGGCTGGTCTATTCAGCAGTTCCTCGAAGTATTCTGCCCATCTTTTCCTCTGTTCTTGAATCTCAGTGATTGTCTTTCCTTCTTTGTCCTTGACTGGTCTCTCTGGTTTGCTATATCTCCCTGCTAATTTCTTCGTTGTATCATACAGTTGTTTCATATTCCCTTCTCTTGCAGCTTCTTCCGCCGCCGTTGCTAGTTTTCCTATGTATTTCTGTTTGTCGGCTTTAATGCTTTTCTTCACTTCCCTGTTTGCTTCTGCGTAGTCTGCTTGTGCTTTGACTTTCTCTGCTTGTGTTCGGCTGTTGTTAATTGCTAGTTTCTTGTTCTTCCTTTCTTGAATTTTGTCCAGGGTTCCCATAGAAATCCATTCCTTGTGATGATGCTTCTTAGGACCAAGAACCTCCTGACACGTTGAAGTTAGTGTTTCTTTTATCCCTTTCCAGTTGTCCTCCAAAGTAGTTTCTTGTTCTTTCAGTGAATCCTGTAGAGCTTGGGACCTGTTGTTGAGAGTTATCTTGAATTCATGGAGCTTGTCAGTATCTCGAAGGAAGGCTGCACTAAACCTTTGTAGTGCTGTTTGTCCAGTTTTCCAGTCTTTCTTAAGCTTCAGTCTCATCTTGGCCACAACCAGGTGGTGATCTGAAGCTATGTCAGCTCCTCTTCGGGTTCTCACATCTTCCATTGATCTTCGGAATTTTTTGTTGATACAGATGTGATCTATCTGGTTCTCTGTGGTGTGGTCCGGTGAGATCCATGTAGCTTTGTGTATGCGTTTGTGTGGGAATATTGTGCCGCCTATAACCAATTTGTTGAATGCACATAGGTTTGCGAGTCTCTCCCCATTTTCATTTCTCTCTCCTAATCCATGTCGTCCAATTACATCTTCATATCCTGTGTTGTCCACTCCAACTTTAGCATTTAGATCTCCCATCAGGATGGTGAGGTCCTTTCGTGAGCACTTATCTATAACTGATTGCAGCCTTGAGTAGAACTGATCTTTATCATCGTCGTTGCTATCATTGGTGGGTGCATAACATTGGATAACGTTAATTATGATCCCTTGCTTCTTTGTTCTGAATGATGCTTTGATTATCCTGGGTCCATGAGATTCCCATCCCACAAGTGCATTTCGTGCTTCTTTGGACAGAATTAGAGCAACTCCCTGAGTGTGTGGAGCATTTTCCCCTTCGTGACCGGAGTTCAGCCGCATCTCTCTTGTACCTAGCTTTTGTTGTCCAGTTTGTGTCCAATGGGTTTCGCTGATTCCAAGTACTGCCAAGTTGTATCTCCTCATTTCCATTGCTATTTGGCTGGTCTTTCCTGTCTTCCACATTGTCCGGACGTTCCATGTACCTATAAAGAGTGTTGCTCTGGTTGTTAGAAGGTGCGTCGGTCTCGTGACTTCCGAAGAATTTCGGCTTTCATCATGAGACGTCATAATTATTCCTTCAACTGAGAGGTCAGAGTTTAAATGGTTTGAATTATTTTTTCTGGTTGACGTTTTTGTAGCGAGTTAGCTTTGCTACGGGATGGGGTCACTAACTCCATGCCCAACCCTCCTCCTTTACCCGGGCTTGGGACCGGCAGTAACTCTAGAAGAGCTACAGGTGGAGAACCCATGACATAGCTATTAGTAATTTAAATTGATTTCAATGTTCAATTTCTAATTGTTCATAATCTTAGTCAGTAAATATTATTATAAAACTTGATTATCTCTATGGAGTCTTTTGATCAATCTACATTTCTTTGTTATCAAAAGATGGAAATGTTTTATTTTATGATATGACTAATAAAAACAGTATTTTCTCAAGATCTTCAAGAAAACTTTTATAGGTCAAAAATAGCAAATAAAATTACAATTATTATGTAACCATATAATCCATTAAAACTTTGCGGATATTGTAGTCATCAGTAATTTTTCGACTAATCAATATGTCAGATGATATTTCTTGATGAACATATATTTGTGTCAAATAAATTTAATAAATCGTTAATAAGTAGTGATGTAGGTGTGTAGTCTTTGTTTTGAACTGATCGAGATCAATCACTTTAAATATCTTATCAGGTAAAATTTTGTGTTTTCAGTTTGCAAGACATGAATATGACCATTAAGTTATCATTTTTGAATTTCAGCTATATTATGGTGACTTTTATTGTATAATGATAAAAACACATGCTTGGATTGACCATGGTTTTTTTAAAAACATCCATTTAATTGATGACTCAAATATTTCTGAAGTTATAACCTAGATGAAGTAATGATTTGATAGGGTATGAATTCACTTGTCAAGGTTTTATTTTATTTTGTAGATAAGAAATGAGCGATGTACACAATTACCTGGTGGGAGTTTTCTTCTAGGTCTTACCGGATCGTATGCATATGAGACTGTAACTTTCAGCGTTCCAGTTGGTCATAATATTCTTCAATGGTATTTACTTGTTGAAAATGTTTATATACAACGATTATATGGATTAAAAGATCCTGAATTACATATTAAAGAAATTCGTGTAACTGGAACTCCACCAGTGACTGCATGTACTCCATGTGCAGCTGGTAGTTTTGGACCTAAGGAAAAAGCTGATCATTGTGAGTTATGTCCAAGAGATACATATTCAGCTGAAGGAGCTAAATCATGTCAATCATGTCCAGCAGATCAGTATTCAGGTAACTATAGATTATACTCGCTATCATGTTTACCTGTTAAGTAACGATGGTAAATTCCATTTACCTCTATCAGCTATTGCCCTGGATGTCTGTAATTCCCGAAGAGTTTCGGCTTTCACTATGAAGCAATATAACTCTTCTGAACGAAGATCCTTCAACTTTCAGGGCCGAGTTTAAATGGTTTAAATTGTTTTCTTGGCTAGCGTTTTCTCTAGCAAAGCTTTTTTCTACAGAATGGGGTTTTTGACCCCAATCCTAACTGTGATAATTAGGAGTATTTGAATTGTAGTACAAACTATGAATCCCACAAATAACGCAGTTTAATCAAGAAGTACTAGATGATCACGAACGAATGTATTGTATTTGGAATTATAAATCAAGCAGTCATCAATAGTTAGTTCATACAAACACCACACTAACCCTTCTCTTTCATACAGGCTTTGGACTTGCAGTAAGTCTAGGAGGGTTATAGGTGGAGTCATGAATTATATTAATTTTCGAACCTAATTTTTATGATAGATAAGATATTCAGACTGAGGTCATATTTTAGCAAGGATATTTGAAATAGATACGAGGACGCATTTTTAAAACATGTATTATTTTACTTACATACATAATGAACAATTATTAGAGTTTCTATGTATTTTCTAGATTTTGAAAAGGTTTTTTTCATACTTGAAAATCTTAACAACTTAATGAGAGGAGGGAGTTGTCCTAGTGTATATATATTACTACATTGTGAGCAATCTGAGCAGATACACACTTTCAAGTCACTTTCTATAAACCAACAAAAGCCGATGAAATATAAAATAGATGAACGAAAAATATTTAAAAAAAAACAAAATTTAGCGTATAGAGAGAATAACAAATTGTCACACGAACAATGGGATTGGATGTAACTTAAAAAAGTCCTTAACACGGATTCAAAGTTATAAACACTTATCCAAAAAGTGACAGAAATTTTCTAAAGATTAGGGCTTCCATAAGCCTAAGGATGCGCACTGACAACATATTTCTTAGGATATAAAGAAATGCAGTTGATTAAATCATACCACCTATTTCAGCTATCTGCCTTTCTATGAAAAATTATGATTATCTACCATGTTCAATTATTTCAGAATTTGGTTTTAATTTATTCTAAAGTCATCTTATCACATACCATTTTGATTTCTTATTATCGAATAGTTCTACTATTCAGAATCTATGTAAATGATTAATTAATTAATTAATCAGTCAACAGAACGCTTCAACTCAATTACTGGATCTTTTCATTTCAAACAAAAGATAGTTCTTAACACTTCGTTTAGTTAGCAGTTGGGTATAGTCAATTTGATACAGATCTTTGCTTGTGACTTCAATACTTTTTGCCTAGAAGACTGACCATCGAAATCTATTTCTAAAACGTTTTTTACTCATGAATCCTTTGTGTTGTCTCAAAAGCTCTCAAAGCTCTTAAACTCAGCAGTGAATTTGATAATAGCGATTTCGTGGGTGATTGACAAGTTTAGATCATGAGAAGAATTCTGGAAGAAACCAATTTTCACTCCAAAAAAGTGAGATCCCGTTTAGATAATGTTTAAAATATTAAGGTCAAAAACGGATCTTCAACCTTGGATAACTAATAAGCTTCCTAAAACCAATGTACTTGTAAATGTTTCATTGTTTCTCAGGCGACCTAATTCTGATGGAAATATGGTTTCAAGTTAAGCTCAAAAGTACTGTTCAATCAAAAAAGAGCAACAAGTTTCAATTGTACACATACTTCACATTTGATTTCTGAAATTAATTCAGTTTTAAAATGTTTTCTTTGATGTCATTCATCCCTAAATTATATCATTTGATGAACTTGTGCAAACTAGAGAGAAGTGGATAATTGTTTATTTTTTGTCGTTTCTGATGTTAATTTAGGAACATACACCTATGTCTTTACATGGAATCATGCTTAAAAGCTTAGAATTTCAGGAGTATGTTATCTTCCAAAGGTTTTATGTTAATAATAACAATAAGTTCACTATACCCTAGTATCCACAACATTATTATTCTACCCATAAAAATGTTTATCAGATAATTGTATCAGAGTGGAGCAGTGGTTAATTGTTAAGGGGTTCGGCTCTCAGCTACTAAGTAGCGTGTTCAAATTCCATTCCATCTTCTTCGGTTAGGGGAACGAGGTAGTACCACCTACTATCTCACTTCCAGTTTAATTCAAAGCAAAGTATACAAGTGTGCACCTGATCAGTCCGTTAATCATACTAAAATTGGTCATGTTAGCTCTTGCGTTGATGACGAGTTACTAGTGTCACATAACTGATAAAATCCTTTTTTTGTCTGACAAACAAAATCTACGTAATTCCCAGATAAAGTTTGTAATCAAACTATACCTATTTTTTTTTCTCTATGTCTACATAAAAGTAAACATAATATTCACCTGTAAATAATACTTGTCTTATTTAGTAGTTCATTTGAACAATATTTTAAAAATAAATTTGATACGTAAACTGTTGAATTTCTCAGACCATGAATTCTGAAATAAAAGGAAAAGTGGACTCTGAGTGAACTTTTTTGTGGTGTTTATCAGTACTTGTTCAGCCCTAGTTTGAAATCGTTAGCTGGATGTACTTACATCACAGTGTTCATGTCGACACAAGGGCTCAAACCCAATACGTTTTTTATAAAAAGTCCACTTATTAAGTCTCAATAGTCAACTATCCAAATAACCTCTGATTTATGTAGTGGATATTCTATCATTGTTGTTAAAAACTGAAAATGATCATTTTCTTTTGGTATTTGTGTATCCTGAGCGAACTGCTTCACTGTTGCAGTCCTCAACAATGATAACGGGGAGTATCAAACTTTTTAAAAATTGGAGCAAAATATTTGAGCCACTAGTATAAATATCAAAATCGAATCGAAAAATAATTTCCAGAAATATAAAATCGCCAATAGAAAGTATGTATGATTAGCTTTATTGTTTCGAAATATCGATTAATTATTTTGTTTTAATAATATGACGAATATTGACTTATTAAATTCTATAACCATCATCGTATTAAATTAACATGTTCATACATGCTTGAATCAATATATAAAATTAACCGATTGAGTTATTCTAAACAGTTTAGTAAATATATTTTGATGTATATGGGTGTCTAGTAACTAAATATCATAAACTAATTATTACCATATAGATCATCGGTTAACTGCTAAGACGCTTCACGTTCTATTCATGAAGATTTTGAAGGAAGAACTTTTCTTCATTCGGAATGATGAGTTGTGGAATCAATGCTATAGAACTACTAAATAATTATGTTGCATAGGGAATAGATGAATAGACAGTTTGACAAAACTATGAGAAGTTTTGTTTTTTAGATTAAGATTGGAAAATACTGAAACGATACACACTGTGTACAAGCCTTTGAGATTTTGAGTTGGCTATCTTATTCATGAAACCACTTTCTAAAAAATAAAAGTTCTTGCAAGCTTTAACCCAATTTTTTTTTCTTACAGTGAACTACAGTTCTTGGAATTTTAATATTAGTTGATTGGAGGAAATCAACACTAGCATCCCTTCCTTTTGAAAGGTTTACGCCAATTAATATTAAATCAGATGCACCTTGATCAGTTGAAAATTAATGACTTAATCGATGGAATTTATTCCATACTAGGAGTTGAACAAACATGAAATTGGTTACTACTAGGTTTTATTTATTATTCATTTAACTAATAAGGTCCCAAAATACATGTAACTAACTACGGATTTCATCTACTTAGCTTTTAGCTGTACAGTTTACGTGAAGTCTAGTTATACTACTGGGGTACCGAAATGAGATTTGGTTCACTAGGACTCAAACGTGTTCCTAATCGGTGAAAAATCGAGTGCATTTATTAATTAAAACGCCTCTCTAGTCTTTAATCAATCAAACAAAACAAATAATTTAATCAAATTAATATAATCACAGAAGATTTGCTTTGATTATTCCAAGGACTATATATGTTAATCTAATAATAATATTTTTCGCATACCTAATGTACACTTCTGTTGTCTTGTCAACTGCTTAGTTATATTGATTTAAAACTATTTTATGAAACAAACAGAACTGTTGACATCTTTCCTAACAAAAATTAATAAAAAATAATTATTTTATTTTCTTTAAAATGACTACACATTTTTCATACTTACTTACGCCTGTTACCCCTCGTGGAGGAGCATAGGCCGCCCACCAGCATTCACCATCCAACCCTGTCCTGGGCACTCCTTTCCAATTCTCTCCAGTTGTTATTCATCATTTTCATATCTGCTTCTATTTCCCGACGTACTGTGTTCTTCGGCCTTCCTCTTTTCCGCTTCCCTTCTGGATTCCAAGTTAGGGATAGCCTCGTGATGCAGTTTGATGATTTCCACAGTGTATGTCCGATCCACTTCCAACGTCTTTTCCCAATTTCCTCTTGAGCTAGAAGTTGGTTTGTCCTTTCCCATAAAACGCTGTTGCTGATAGTATCCGGTCAATGGATGTTAAGTATTTTGCGTAGACAACTGTTTATAAATACTTGTACCTTCTTGATGATGGTCGTAGTAGTTCTCTACGTTTCAGCTCCATACAGTAGGACTGTCTTGATGTTCGTATTGAAGATTCTCACTTGGAAGTTATTTGACAGTTGTTTTGAGTTCTATATATTCTTCAATTGTAGAAATTCTGCCATTGTTTTGCCAATCCTTGCCTTTACATCTGCATTCGATCTGATTCATACAGCTTTCCAAAATTATTTATACATAACTAATCATTATGAATGATTTGTAAACAGTTTGTAAACATTGTCTTGAAGATAAAACTTTGTGTACAATTGAAAACATGACAACTAGTTTTTATTCGTGTGTGAAAACAGTAAAAAAAACCAGAATAAACGTTATCAAAAGCATTTGTTTATTATTGTAATTATTTGTCTTTTTGTAGAGTGAGTTTTTAAAATTCTCAACAAGTTAGCTAACTTGTGAAATTTTATGCACACCTATGGAAAAACTGACTGATGAAATTTTAATTGAAAAGTATAGCTTCTTTACGTAAACAGCGAAACTATTTAATGATTAAACTCAGCTTATTTTTTTGGTTTGTGATTGAACTCAAAACTTTAAGGAGTTACTCGATTTCAATGCAAATTGATTTATATCCGATTGTCTCTATCAAAATGGGAATAGAATTATCCGAGCATTTAGACTAAAATACAAAAGTCGAGTACAGTAGTATGAAGTCATTAATTCAAAATAAAGAATGATGTTCTGGGAGAACCTTGAAGTGTTTTTCGATAGATAGTATTTTTTTTAAAGTTTATTCTTCAAGCATAATATCAATCAACCAACTCATTCAAATAATTTTCACTTTATTGATTGTAAGATCATTGAGTATGTTCGTAATGAATAACATAACGTTTACCAAATATATAACATCATTACGGCTAACTACTACAATTAGATGAGTTTTGAGGTAACATTTGTCAGTTTTAAACCAGCAAATAATGTTTCACAATTAGCTCAAATTGTGTTAAGATCAACAAGACTTGCATAAAGATATTCATATAGTTTAGACTTCATCTAATCACTACTGAAATACACTCATCGAAATAACGAACTGTTGTGTGTTCCATATTGAAGCTATAAAAAGGTTCAAGGTGATGTATTTCTAATAAAGAGTGATAAGGACTTCTTTGATGATCAATTTTATTCATCTAGCATTAAAATTCAGGAAAAATATAAGTTTTTGTGAATAAACTAAAGTAAGACAAAAATGGTAAAGTCTCGTTTCTTTGGTGCACCCATCGTTTATACATTCTTGCTTTTTAACGCCCTTGAAGATATTACATTCCTTTTGATTAGTTGATCTTATGATAAGCTAGTTTTTCACCATATTTTCAAAGTTTCTGTGTATATATACATTCATATTCATGTTTGCTTAAACCAGTCACTTTTCCTCTCATAGTTTTTCATTATAGTCATTAAACATTAAAATAACTTCCAACCAAAAGACTATTCAAAAGTAATAAATGGTTCAGTCCTTAAAATACTTCAAATAAATTAGGTACAACAAAGTTAGTGGCAACAATGATTATTAATAACGAATCGATAACTAATCATTTCAATAGATCAATCTTGAAATTGTTTGAACACATTCAATACGTTCTATTCAAGAAACCTGTGTATACAAACCACGTCAAATATAACGTTGATGTAGATAGAAATAAAACATCTTCAATGCTAATGATGGAAAAACAACTTAGAGAAGTATAAGAATTTTAACATATACTAAGATATCTCAAAAGTCTTATTGTAGTGTGGTCTACTTATATCCATATAAGTAGTATATGGTGATGATCAGACATAGAATGTAGCTTGGCAGAAGACCGATAAGAAAAGAACTGAAATGAAACACAATTGGTAGGAAAATGCATAAACAATGTATTTAGAGATGAACTGATATTTACAGCAGGAACAATGGAGATTGAGATAATTGATTGTTATTTTGCAAATTTACTGTTCATTGTGTGGTTATAAGAATTTAGTGAGATGGTCTGTAATTTGTGCTTAAGTACATTCGATTGTCCCTAGTCGTGTTCTCATTCACAACATCATAACTTAACAGCTATATCAATGATAATTTAACAATTAATTGTTTACTGTTAATGAACAGGCGTCATTTTAAAGTGATAGAAATTTTAATCCAAAAAATTACTTCAATTCATTGGATTTTATCTATTTAGAAACTGACTGATAATGAAACTATCTGTTGTAATGAAATGAAATGAACAGTCAGTTATGAAGAAAAACCTATGGAAGCTTAAATCATTGTTATTAAAAGCGAGTAAACAGTTTGCCCTGATATTTTATTCTTTTTACAAATGGGATTTGATAAGTGAATGTATGAGAATGTTTGGTATAGTTTAGGTTAAACTAAGATTTTATTGATTTTTATCCATAAAAATATAACAAAATCTTCTACTTATTAACAATAAAAGGTAATGGATCTTCAAGTTGTAGTCCACGTCCTCCATGTAAGAAAGATGATTATACAAGTTATTGGACATCATGTGATCAACAAGAAATGGTAAGTTATTCCTGATAGTATAATCGAACTTTTGTAACGTTTACATGAAATTCAGCACGTTTTTAAATGATCATTGTCAATAGAATGTATATTTTATTCAAAGGGTTATATGTTCAATTATGAACTGATTAATTTCATTGAGTAAATAAATAAAAACAGCCTTCGGTCAGTTTAAATTTTCCGTTCTCTATACCATACAAACCATTTGGCTTGATCAATAGTTCAAGGCTACTGAATCCAATGCTTAGGCTTTCATTATTGCTACATCTTTTTGAATCATTCAGCTTGAAAATATCAGGTTCATCTATCTCTCCCTACTTTCAGACATAATTTTCCTCTTAAGAGTTATAATATTCTTCCTTGTTTTTTATTAAATATCTTACTTAAACTACCGTCCACTCTCGTCATGTCTTCTGTATCTTCATACTTTTGCTGATGTTAGGAGGAATAGTAAATTTTAGACGATCTGCTTTTACTATTTCAGTAAACTTAAGTTATTGTGGATCATTTTAGGCGAAATAATTTATCCTAACAAGGCTGTATATGCCTATCTATACTACACTATATATATCATGTTAATCGAGGTTTCGAATTGGTACTTACTGTGAACGATGAAAGCATTCATGATCTGATAAATAGTAGTTAATTATTTGGTAAACTATATCACAGTTAAAATCTAGTGTTTTATCATATTGTTTATCAGAAAAAAACAAGTGAACTATCTTTTTATTTCAAGCGATAAATTACAATTTCGGTTCTAATTTTTTTGACATTAATAGGTGTCTGTAAACGATGTTAGCCTCATTCAATGCTTTTTTTCATCCATAATGACAAAGACATTAATTTTGTCCGTAGCTGCATTTGCACAGTTACTTATATACTTTAAGCACACTTTTAAACGCCACTATAAATTAATTAGGCTGATTGTTTTATTTTCGGAATTCAGTATAAACAATTTATTTAAATAATGGTTGACAATGTAAAGTATATGATCTGTTATGACCTTAGCTTATACGATTACCGCGGACGCGATTGTCAATTTTAGATACGCGGACTTATACGACCAACAAATGACGTATACACCTGAACAAACAGCCTGGAGTCCCGATTGAATCTTTTCCCTGCCTGTTAAGTTCAGAACACCAATCTCAGGCTCGGCGATATTAATAATTTATTTCAAACATACTGGGTTTATATACAAACCGAACAGACCACCTCACATCATAAAATAGAAAACAAAATTTGTGCAAGATCTAGCCAAAAGTGGTTGTGAATGTGGCAGACTATAATTAATAGATTGCGAATGGCTTAAGAATGATAAATCTTATGATAATGGTCTATAGGTCAAAATAAAGCTTATGATTAGAAGGATATGAAAATACATAGTTTAGTTACATAACAATTGTGTAATATATATATATATATATATAGTATTAGTCCATAAATAGATCTCAACAGTTACTATTCTTTATTCTAATCGGGATACAACGTTATAACTATCAATAAGTGCTTATAGTATCATGAAATTGTAACTCAATTCAATAATTTCAAATTATTTTTTTGGATGTCTAAAAGTTCTAGTTGGCTAGTTGATAGCTTAATTGATCAAGGAAGTTTAACTTTAAACTAGTTGAATAGGTAATATACACTAGTCGTTCACTCAGTGGTAATTGTTTTTTCTTATAGTTGTTAGTGTTGATCTTGGTTGGTTCGTGATCACTAAAGTAATTAACTCAACATAATGGTGAACTTTATATTATAGATTCAAAGGTCACTGCTCTTTGCTCTATTGGGGTTAGTCCAGTTGTAATCAGATCTTGATGTCAATTCAGTCACTTTATATTTTGCCTGACTTTTATGCTTTATTAGATGTACTTAGTTAATGGGAATAAGTCAGATCAAACGTCTAACTAGGTCATTCAACTTCAATCGAAAGCAGTTTGAGTTAGATAAGACGAGTTATTGATTTTTCATTGATCGGAATCAGACTGAGATAATCCAAGCTGGTAGAGTGCATTTTTCCGTTGAGGTGGTCACCAAAGTCCAACAGAAACCAGCAGATTTTATTGTTATTTGGTTACTTGCAATCACAATAGTCATTTTCAATATATTGTTTAAATAAATATGTTTCAACAATTTTCAAGTAGATAATAAAATAAAAGAATTTTCATATTTATTATTAGTCGTAAGAGTTTGTCATTTTTTTTGTTAATGCTTGAGACTGTATCTATCAAGCTACCTTGATACACGGACTTCTTAAATGAAAATCTCATTGTTAACCAGATTTTTACATTTTTAAACTTTGGTTAGTGGTTAGTCATGAAATCGTAAATTAATGATAAGTGTAATATTTATTGAGGAAGATATGGCTATTGTGACTCAGTAACCTGATAATATAACATTATGATATTTCAATTAACGGATAGTTTGTGAAAGTTCTACTGTGAACATCAACATTCGGATTTAGATACATCCAACAGACGAGTCCCGAAAAATATGATAATCTCTCCTTGAATTTTACTACTAGACACAATTCGATTTGATAACTTGATCTTCATAGTTTAAAACCTAGTGGGTGGTGATTTTATTTATATTTTAATCACCATATCACCGTTCGTATTCTTTTTCGCATACAATACAGATTTCTAAACAAACTTTACTCAATAAAATAGTTAATCATTTTCTACTTGTGTGTGTTTTCTTGTCTGTAGACACAACGTAAATGGAAATGGATTGAACCAAAAATATGTGATGAAAATAGTGGTGTTTCTTTACCAGAATCAGAGAGTCCAGTACATTGTCATAAGTGTCCAACTGGTACATTTCCATTAGATGGTAATACATGTGAATTATGCTCAATTGGTATGAAGAAACATTTGTCAAATTTAGAAACTTGTGTTACATGTCCAACTAATGAAGTTCCAATGTATGGTTTACGTTTTGATAACTGGTATCGTATGCCTTCTATACTGAAATTGGATTGTTTCAATTTCTTTGGTAAGTTATTAGTACAACTTCTTACATGACAAAAATAGACCCCTGTTTTTCAATCTAAAAGTAACTGTGAAACATTGTGCGTTTGTAACAAATTAGGAAACGATTTAATCTCTTCGTTAAGTAAAAAAGTGTATTTATAGAGTTTAAGCAACAACTATGCAACCCGAAAATGTGATGTAAATTATTTAACTATAGAGCTTTTGTCATTTTCTTTTACATCAATTCAAAGCTTTATATTTACATTTCGCTAGTTAGGCTGAGGAACAGATCTCAATAAACGACAGTCAAATTGATTCGAAAATAGGTTAGGTCTTTGATGGCACGTTATGTACAATTCCCTAAAAACTATATTGTAGGTATTGTTACTTACTTATCATCTAAATTTAGCGTAGTTGTTATTTGAAGTGATATTATTGTATTGAGGTGTAGGTCTTTAATGTCGAAAATTTCTTGTTAGTGAATAAGAAAATCAGAATTATGGTTTCTTGATTGTTATCTTGATTCGTAGACTCATGGTAATAATTTGTATGTTTATGTATGAGATTTTAATAGCATAATCAGAAAACTTACCCATAAGTCATTCAAATAATGACTGATCTTTTTTATTAAACTGAACTATGAACATTGATATAATTAGAAATTAAACCGAAGTGGATTGTATGCTTTTCAACTATGTTCTCATTAGATTTTACTTGAATATAATTGGACAATGAGGAATGATATATTTGTCGATGTATGTTATGATCAATCTCGTAGGTTAATTCTTTTAATATCTTAATGAATTTTAGATCTACCTTTACTATCTTTGAAATGAACATAGTTTAATGAAGAAAAGATTATCAATAAATTTCATCTATACTTTTTACGGATAGATATTTATACATCTCACTTTAGACCATTTCATTCATATATGACAATTAGGTCTTTATATAATAAGTAAGCGTGTTGGGATAACGGCATTCTAATGATATTTCAATAAATGATACCAACACATACGGAGAAAGATAGAGAGAGAAAACGAAAGAATAGAAACAAAGATTTCAAGTCATAAAAAAACAATTTGGAGAATAAAGAAAGTATTGCCTAAGTTAAAAATAAATATCAAACAAATGACTTTGATTAATACAAAAAAACGACTCAAATCAATGACAGTAACCATGTATCAAATAATAATTAATTTCGGATTAACATCGTAATATTCTACTTTATATTGTTTGTTTGAATCTTCCCATCGATTTGTTAGGACTGCAACTGGTCAGTCTCTAATTGGCATATGTGCATACTGTGCGTATTGCCTCGATATACCTTAATTCACAAGCATGGTTAGCAGAGATGGATAGTGGCTAGCAGTGGAATCCAGGACTCTGAGATGCAGGTACATCCAGCTGACGAGTCCCAAATAGGACGAAACACGCGTCCTGGATTCCACTGTTAGCCACTATCCATCTCTGCTAATCGTAATATTCTGTTTAAAAGCCATCACCCTTAGTAACAACAAAGATATTGAAGGAACTGGTTGGTAAAGAAACCAAACCAAAAATGTAGACAATAAGATTCTGACTGATTGGTTCACAGATTTAATGTTTATCATTAGATCTTAAAATGACAGATTCAATTCTATATGACATCGTAGATACAAATTAACTGATAAGTCTTAAATCAACTAATGATAACTTTTCAGTAATTTTTATTTTATACTAGTTCTTTCGCTTTTGTTTTAGTGAAATGAAATATGTTTTTCTTTTAAAATGTGAACAGAAAAGTAGAGTAAGAAATTATCAAAGAATAATTTTCTAAAAAAATTCTGAGTTGATATTCACTCTGGGGCTCGAACCCAGGACCTTCCGATTGTGAATTAAGGCTTTATCGAGTCAATACGCACAGTATGCACATATGCCAATAAGAGACTAACCAGTTGTAGTCCTAAATATCAGTGGGAAGATTCAAACAAACAATACCATGTGTATTTAAACTTCGCTCAGTTGCACAAGCAAGTGGCTATCAGGACTCGGTAGCTCAGTGGATAACGCGATGGCGTTTGAAGCTAACGATACTGGGTTCGAGTCCCAGAGTGAATATCAACTCTGAGATGCAGGTAAATCCAGCTGACGAGTCCAAAACAGGATGAAATACGCGTCCTAGCTTTGACTGCTGGTCACTATCCATCTTTGTTTATAAAGCTTGTGACCTAAGGCAATATCGAGACAGTCCGCATAAGATGCACATACGTCAACAAGAAACTAATCAACTGCAGTCCTAAATAACAATGGAGAGATACAAGTAAACAATACCAAGTGAATTTTCCTATAGTTAGTTGTTTATTTAAAAATTCTATTTTCAATATCTAATACAAAAGATATATGGTTAAAATCAGTTTATTTCATTCTTTTTTTAAATAACAGTAAAAACTTTAAAATATTTCGTTCATAGTATATATTTCGTTAAATAATATTAACAGTTAATTGTTTCAATATATAATGTAACTAAAGCTGTTTAAAATTAGAAGAAGTTATCAGTATAATTTCAAGCAAGAAACCGCTTTTACTTAATTTTGATTCAAGACATATAATTTTAACTACTTGTAATGATCTCAACTATAAGTTTATAGTTTGATATAATTGTAGTGCCGTGCTTCGCTAATTGTTCACCTCGATAAACGTGATAATACAAAACGTAACGGTGCATAAAAATCAGAAGGCAAAGAGAATCGGCAGCTACAGTTTTATTGACAACCAACATATACTACATAATAATTAAAACTACTTTAACAAATAATCCATTATTTTTCATTTCAAAGCATTCTGCTTCAAAATGTGTTCTCAGTATTAATAGACATTATGATAGAGTTGTTTTGTTACAAGTGAATGGTTTAATTGTAAAAGTTTCATTATTATTGTGTATGACATTCATTTGAGTAAAAATTCATCATTTATTAAGTGATACTAAATATTGTTCCTTTTTAACAAAATTTATTGGAATAAAGATAATGAATATGACATTTCTCACCTTGTAAATCGTTTCAAGACTATTCTTTCAACAGCTTCATTAAAGCCTAGAATCATATATTTTAGCTTTATAGCATTTCGGAATGGTCCACACGTATTATTAATTTCTCATATAACTATTAATAACTTGAAATTTTATTTTGAAATGATAAGATCAGTTGATTTTGAAACTAGAGAAGTACAACAAGATATGTCTACTGGAAGAGCTAGACCTAATCGGTGGTAGTTTAATAGCTGAACTAAAAGCAAGTGTTGTCATGGTTTTGGTCAAAAGTATCAAACAGCTGTCATATGATAAAGTTAAGTCGAAATTAACGATTTAATGGAGGATGTCGGTTTTATACTATTCGGGACTCATCAGCTGGATATACTTGTATTCTAGTGTTGATAATCATAGTGTGTGTTACTTATATCGACATAAGTAGTATATGACACTAGTCAGAAATAGAATTTCTGGAAGCATAAGGTTGGGAAGATCGAGAAAGCAATTAGTATGGGAATGCAAGAACAATGACGTCTGAGACAATCAACGAACATATTACAAATGAAGTATTGGAGCATGGTTTTTCTATTTTAACAAGTAACTCTGTAATTTTTTTCTAAATATAATCGGTTGTCCTCACCTGTGTACTTCATTACAATATTACAGTTTTAATCTAGTTCCTATCTCTTCAGACTTTAAGGCATAAAAAGTTATATGTGGAACGGTTTGCATCATTATGATTGGTTGTTATATTTAATAACAGCAGTATAAAGTACGATTCCCAACAAATAAAATGATCGTTTATTAATTTTTTGCGTAAATTAACTGATTTTAACATTAGATTTTGTTATTGATAAATTCATTTAAGGGACGAAATGTAATACATGGGAACGTGATCTAACATTATTACGTGGTGGAGTTGGCATGCATTCAGATGAATCGGCAATATTGGAACTACCAATTAAAGATGGTTTTATTACAGCATCAACACTTGATTCAACTGATGAGTATTCTTTTTATTTTCAACCACCTATTTCTAATACATTTGTACGTATTGAATTCAAATTAGATTGTATTGGTAGATGTCAGTTTTCTATGAAACAAGTAAGTTGTTTCTTCTCACAATAACATTACACAATATCAATGGAGATAGTTGGATATTTATTTTTTGTAATATTCAATTTGTTATAAATAAAAATGATAGATGTTTTTTTATTGAAAGGATAGAAAAAAAAAGTATAGAACAGCTGTAGACGTTGATTTATTTTCAAATTTGCTTCATGAACATATATATCGGTGGAATTTACAGTTTTCCTTAGATCAGTCCAAATTGTTTGAAGTCCTTTTTTGCTATATGCTCCATATGGACGGATTTCTTTTCTGTAATCAACAAGGGGAATCGATCCAAAAACATTTTTAAGAAAAATTTCTAGAAATTCAATTTTTCAGTTAAACGATTTTGACAATTTGAATTGTTTAGACTTTGTGGAAATAATATCAAGTACAAAGTGTTTTTGAAGACTAATACTAAATTTTGATAGCGAATATAAATCATAGGCTAACACCATAAGTTGAATTTAATTTGATAACCGCTGAGGGCCGGAAGCAACTGATAAGTGTTGTATTCTAGTATGGGACTCTTTAGCAGTTCACAACCCTGATCTTACCAGGGATTAAACCCAGTACCTTCAGACTTCTTGACGAGAGCTTAACCATTAGACAACTAGATTGGCATTTAATGACCACAAAACATTCTTGATGTTGAGCAGAATCTAGTCGATGTAAATAACAGTTTCCATTTTATAATGGCTAAACCCTAGTAAATTTATGAATTTTTCTCGAAGTTAGCTACTTTTGAGCGATTCACAATTATTAGAATGAAATTTTACAAACACCCCTTACTTTTCATCAATTTTCATACAAGCTCAGTATGCTAACAGTTAGGTATGAACTAAAAAGATAAATACTGAGGATTCATATCAGCACTCACACTTTATGGCTTAGTTATTTCAAATCAACCAGATTTGAAGATAACATACATTTCATTTTTACGCTTGTTACAGAAAAAGAACAGTCATTCTAATTCATAAACATAATCGTTCTATATCCTAACCATGAATCTTGTTTTAAGATATTAGCCTACCTAATTTCTATTATTCTTAATTATGATAAAGAAATTGAATTTTTCATATTAGTTGGGAAGCAATTTTTCTACTTATAATTATTATTCAATGTTCATCTACTTTTCTCCATGGTATCTGTTAGTTTATTGTTTTAAAGTTGTTAAGCAACAGGGATGTAACTGGAAAAAAAAGAAACACTTTAGTTATTGATTTCTTTTTAAATGTACAATTCACTGATCAGTGACCATAACAATAATACTTATTATTATTTACTCAAATAAATGACCTTGTTTAAATTGTATTCAATTAATGCTGGTCGCTGATAATTAATATCCAAGTGATCTCTTCAAACAGATTTTTCAATAGTAATAATAAAGATTTTGTTTGTAAATGCTTGTTTACTACATGATAAGAATGATACTGAATAATACTGAATGTAGCATTAGGATAAAGATCAATATTATGTAATACTATTTTGAATAATATATGATACTCATTACGAGAACATTCATTGAATCGGATAAAAAAGTGAGCTTTATTAATTTATAACTCATGATGTTATAGATGGGGTTATCTGTGATATTACATGTTATCAACAACAGAGGACTAGATAGAGGGGAAATCAATTAGTTTTACTTCAATAATTGCCCCCAAATGCCCTACTACGGCCGAAAGTGAGAAAAGTCCGCCCCCCCTCTCGAATGGCCACGCGTATATAGCCTCTGTCAGGGAAGTCCTACTCACTGCCTTCTCGTTGCACTACTGTTGTTTACGAAATTGAGAGGACGAAAAGCGAATGTACGGCGCTTTAACTGGGTCGGTGGACACGGGAAGTTCACCTAGGAGAGTTGGAAAACCCTGATTCCAAATCAATGGTGCACATGGGCTCCAGTAACCTGAGGGAACAATTGGCGTATGAATCAATCGTTGGTCACCGACTACCATGGGACTGCATCTCCTCACGATGCTCCACTGCCTTATGGATCAGATCTTTAGGTCAAAGGCTCCGGGTGTGGCCCCCTAAGAAAACCACCTGCTTCAGTTTTGGCACCTGGGCAGTATCACAGCCCTCACACAAACCAAATGAGATTTGTGCGGCGCATATTTATCTGGTGCTTCCTCGTACCAATATTTATGTGTTTAAACAAATAAATAAACTTCAGTAATTGTACATAATAATTATATCTAAAATAAAATTGACGGATTCTATGATGCTTACATTTAATCATGAAATCTTAAATGATTTTCATATAGCTTAATTTGAAAAAAAGAGAAATAGGAAGTGAAATAATTCAATAAATGTGAACCATTCCTCATTTCAACTTAATTAATAGCATTGGTTTTTGATGATTTTATTAATTATGTACATTTGTATGATCTCACGTACCTCAACTTACTGATTATTGTGTAGTGATTCAGAATAATATAGAAACGTGAAATAACTTATTTGTTTTAAAATATAAAGAATTGAAAGATAATATCAAGCTGTACTGACAAGATATAAAAATTACAATAAACTTATGACTTCATAAGGTTGTCTTATTTCTCCACTAATTGAAGTCGTTTCGACGATTTTGCAAACTCATTCAATCTACTTTGTTTATAGTCATTAATATTACTGTAATGTTTGTTTACAACCATAAACTATATTGACAAGTGTAGCATTCATTATAATAGTCATAAAATTTCCAGGGTCATTATTCAGTTGTCTACTTTGATTTATGTGACAAATATCATATTTTGATTCATTAGTCTTTAGTGTTCATTTTCTAATTCCAATATCCATGAACGATGTTGATACTTATGAAAGGTATAGTCTATTTAACCTCGTATATTTTCTATCAACTAATCATGTTAGTGCAATGTAGAAATAAAGAGTCGAATACAAGTTCGTTTTGGGATGTATGTGTTCAAACATTCATGTGAGCAAGCAAACTGGCAGAATGAATATGTTGGTCGAATATATCCAGACAGCAGTAACTTTAAAAACCTATTCAATGAATAATGAGTGACTTACTCGTTATATGAAGTGAATAATGAATTGAAGATAACCAATTACAGTATAGATGTCAGGTATACGTAATTTGAGCACAATTATACTTAATAATTAACATGAGCATAAATGCGGAAATAGACAAAGAATAATTTGGGCTAATAAAAGCACACATACAAGTATACAGTATAAAAGATAATCTTCTGTTTAAACATACAAAGATCAGTAAAGGTCCGGATATCAGTTCGTATTAGCCTGTGATAATTGATTCCCCATAGGACCGTACATTTAATTATCCATAACTAGGGCGACCGAGATCAAGGTAGTCACACAAAGAATAATTTTTCAACACTCCGTTTAGATTACTACAAAGTCTAAGATAGATACGATATTGTTCTTCATAACTGTATTGTTAATACCGAGAGCCCGATTTTCCCCTGATCAAAATATATACTTTTTTTCAAGAAATAAGGTGCTTTTCTGTTCAAAATACATTTGTACTCTTATAATCAATTTCCTAATCTACACAGAATAACCCAAATAATAAAAAGCTAATTTCAGTTACAAATGTTAAGAGTGGCATTGAAATTAGAGTCATGTTATTTCTGACTATAAATCACAATTTCTATTCACCAAATTTTGTTTCCGGTCTCAGTAGTGATTTGTAAAAAGCACAGCTTCTCAAACTTTCAGTCTAAAGAAACTTCAAAAACCTTTTCAGATTTGTGAGTTATACAGATAACTTGAAAAAGATTGATTTAGGCTGCCGATGAAAAGTGTTCGAGAATTTCACCACATTCAAATAAATTTTATGTTATGCAGTAGTCCGACTTTGCTACTGAGATATACACCTTCTGTATAAGTGCCCAAACTAGAGACTTGAGTGAGTAGGAAGATTTTATTCGCAAAATGAATCAAAAATATATATACAACTTATTAATAAATATCCAGCTTTTTCCCTTTGGAAAAACAGCGGCATTCCCAACTAATATAGTGTGTTTGTATGATTATTTGTGAGCTTTAACTAATGTCGACACTTTGATAGGTACCTAATGATATATATCTCTTCTCAAACTTTGTATGATTTATATATGTTTCATGTCGCTTTTAATTATTATGTCAAACACTATGAACGAAATTAAAAGCATAAATTCATACAAAATCCTAATGGTAATTTTCATCATAAACTGGAAAATACCAGGCAGTCACTGAACAGCTGTTCTCTTCTATAATAAAAGTTCCTAACTGTCCATGTCTACGATTTCACATATGATTTTTTCCATAGTCTCTAAATAGTATGGTGACCATAACACCTTTAGACTAAGTATTTCGAATTGAATAGATCAAGCTTTTGATTTTTGATAAATTTGTGATATTCAACAAAATTCATTCAGTGATGGATGGTGGCTAGAAGTAGAGTCCAGGCCCCCCTTTTTTCTTCATATTTGACACTCGTCAGCTGAATTTGCCTGCATCCCAGAGTTCATATTCACTTCGGAACTCAAACTCAGTAACGTTCGCTTCAAATGCCATCACGTTATCTACTCAGCTACTGAGTACTAATAGCCACTTGCTTGTGCAATGAAGTTCGTTTGGTATTGTTTGTTTGAATCTTTTCATTGATGTTTACGACTGATCATTTACAGCTGCAAACATCAATGGGAAGATTCAAACAAACAATATCAAGTGATTTTCAAAATGTCTAGAAAATATTCATAAAGCAGCTATTTAACTAAAATTAAACTGGGATTCATTCAAATTTTAATTTATTCTTCTGCTGAAATTTTTTGCTAATTGTTTTCATTTAGGTTTTTGACGCCGGTAATGAAAAAACAATTGCTATCTGGGGTGGATCATCAAACCGAATAAATTACACGTGAGTTGTTGAAAATTGAATAGTTACCAATAAATGATTTCAATACCATTCTACAGTTTCAGCATGTTTTATTTTTAATTTTGTTTAGAAAATAAACAAAGGGGTATATATATATATATATATATATATATATATATATATAGAGAGAGAGAGAGAGAGTAAAAGCTTTTATGAATATCTTATCGAATAATATATCAATGTTCAAATACCAAGCACACATACCACTGAGATGGAATTCATAATTTGATTTGCTCAATAAAAAATTCATTGATTAGTTAATTTGATCATACTGTATGATCAACATTATATTATAATGTAAATTTTATAGTCTTTCAAGTGATCTTGAATAGGGTAAGAGCAATATGCAAAAGAGTACACTCTTTTTGAATTCAATATTTGATCATATAATTCACAAAGTTTATCCATATCAGGAAGTTCAAAATTACTGAGTTAGGATTTGTTTCTCAACTGTTACAGCATATATTTGTTATGATCTGATGGTGGTAATTAGTAATAAAGTGTCTGATCACATTTCAAGCATCTATGTGAATGGACTATTTAACTTTTAATCTTTGTAATAACAAGTTCATAAACTACAATATCATATCAGTATACTTACTTACTTACTTACGCCTGTTACTCCCAATGGAGCATAGGCCGCCGACCAGCTTTCTCCAACCCACTCTGTCCTGGGCTTCCTTTTCTAGTTCTATCCAGTTCTTGTTCATTATTCTCATGTCTGTCTCAATTTCTCGGCGTAATGTGTTCTTTGGTCTCCCTCTTCTCCTTTGACCTTCAGGATTCCATGTGAGGGCTTGTCTTGTGACGCAATCAGGTGATTTCCTCAAGGTGTGCCCAATCCACTTCCAGCGCTTTCTCCTGATTTCTTCCTCTGCTGGAATCTGGTTTGTTCTCTCCCACAGTAACTTGTTGCTGATAGTGTCTGGCCATCGGATCCGAAGTATCTTGCATAGACAACTGTTAATAAACACTTGTATCTTCTGGATGGTGGCTTTCATAGTTCTCCACGTCTCCGTCCCATACAGTAGGACTGTCTTGACATTTGTATTGAAAATTCTAACCTTGATGTTGGTTGACAATTGTTTTGAGCTCCAGATGTTTTTCAGTTGCTTTGCCGATCCGCGCCCTCACATCTGCATCTGATCCACCGTGTTCATCAATGATGCTGCCCAGATATGTAAAGGTTTCCACATCTTCCAAAGCTTCTCCGTCAAGTGTAATTTGATTGGTGCATACTGTATTGTATCGGAGAGTCTTGCTTTTCTCTTTGTTTATATTGAGGCTGTTTATGCTGAGGCTGCTGCTACACTGGTCGTTTTCTCCTGCATTTGTTGTTGCGTTTGTGATAGAAGAGCCAGATCATCCGCGAAGTCTAAATCGTCAAGCTGCATCCTGCCTGTCCACTGTATCCCGTGCTTCCCTCCAGATGTTGACGTCTTCATGATCCAGTCGATGACCAGGAGAAAGAGAAAGGGTGAGAGTAAGCAACCTTGTCTAACACCGGTCTTTACTTCGAATGAGTCGGTGAGTTGTCCTCCGTGGACGATTTGGCAGTTTAGTCCATCATAGGAGTTCCGTATGATATTGACTATCTTCTCAGGCACGCCGTAGTGTCGAAGAAGCTTCCATAGTGTCGTCCTGTTCTCGCTATCAAATGCCTTCTCGTTGTCGATGAAGTTGATGTAGAGTGATGAATTCCATTCAATTGATTGTTCCACAATGATCCGCAGAGTTGCGATTTGATCTGTGCACGATCTATCCTTACGAAATCCAGCTTGTTGATCTCGAAGTTGTGTGTCCACGGAATCCTTCATCCTGTTTAACAATACTCGGTTGAAGACTTTTCCTGGTATTGAGAGGAGAGTGATGCCCCTGTAGTTGTTGCACTTGCTAAGATCACCTTTCTTTGGTATTTTGATCAGAAGTCCTTTTTTCCAGTCTGTTGGTACTTGTTCTTCTTCCCAAATCTTACTGAAGAGGATGTGGAGTATCTTGGCAGTTGCTGTTACATTCGCTTTCAGTGCCTCTGCCGGGATGTTGTCTGGTCCCGCTGCTTTGCCACTCTTGACTTGTCTAATGGCCATGCTGATCTCTTCAATTGTTGGTGGGCCAATATCGATTGGGAGGTCCGTGGTAGCTGCTTCGATGTTGGGTGGGTTCAGTGGAGCTGGTCGATTCAAGAGTTCTTTGAAGTGTTCTACCCACCTGTTTCGTTGTTCTTCAATATCGGTGATTACTTTGCCTTCCTTGCTTTTCACTGATCTTTCTGGCTTACGGTAATTTCCAGCAAGTTTCCTTGTTGTATCATACAGTTGTCTCATGTTTCCCTCTCTTGCAGCCTTTTCCGCTGTTATCTCTAAATCTTCCACATATTTACGTTTGTCGACTGTGATGCTCCTCTTCACTTGCTTGTTTGCCTCTGTGTATTCGGCTTGTGCCTTGGCTTTTCCCGCTCTTGTTCGGCTGATATTGATTGCTGCCTTCTTGTTCCTCCTTGCTTCTATCTTATCCAGTGTACCAACAGTGATCCATTCCATTTGATGGTACTTCTTTTGGCCCAGAACCTCCTGACATGTTGAAACGATTGCCTCCTTGATATCTTTCCAGTTGCTCTCCATGGTAGTTCCCTCTCCATTGAGTAGGTCATGAAAGGCCTGGAACCTGTTGCTGAGGGCTATGTTAAATTCGTTGAGTTTGTCAGCATCTCGAAGAAAGGCCGTGTTAAACTTTTGTGATGTTGTCCGCGCCGTTGTCCACTGCTTCTTGAGTTTTAGTTTTAATCTTGGCGACCAGCAAATGATGATCGGATGCTATATCAGCTCCTCTTCTGGTTCTCACATCCTCCATCGTCCTCCTGAACGTTTTGTTGATGCAGATATTGTCGATTTGATTCTGTGTAGTGTGATCCGGTGAAATCCAAGTGGCTTTGTGTATGTTTTTGTGTGGGAATATGGTGCCACCTATGACCAGTTTATTGAAGGCACATAGGTTTGCAAATCTCTCACCATTTTCGTTCCTTTCTCCCAGTCCATGTCGTCCCATGACGTCTTTGTATCCAGTGTCGTTTTTTCCAACCTTGGCATTGAAATCTCCCATCAGAATGGTCAGGTCCTTGGTTGGGCACTTCTCGACGATCGACTGCAACCTGTCGTAAAATTGGTCTTTAGCGTCTTCATTGTAGTCGTTGGTAGGCGCATAACACTGGGTGACGTTCATTGTAATGCCCTCTCTCTTTGTTTTGAAGAAAGCTTTGATGATCTTTGGTCCATGAGATTCCCATCCAATAAGTGCATTTTGTGCTTTTCTGGACAGCATCAATGCAACTCCTTGTGTATATGGGGCATTTTCTTCTTCATGACCGGAGTATAACAGAAGTTCTCCTGAAGACAGTCGTTGTTGTCCGACCTGCGTCCAATGTGTTTCGCTGATTCCAAGAACCTCCAGGTTGTATTTTCTCATTTCTGCAGCAATTTGGAAGACTCTTCCGGTCTCCAACATTGTTCGGACATTTCATGTACCTATAAAAATTGTCGCTAACTCCGCCTGTAGCTCCTCTGGGGGTTACTGCCGGTCCCAAGCCCGGGTAAAGGAGGAGTTTTGGGCATGGGGTTAGCGACCCCATTCCGTAGAAAATCAACTCGCTAAAAAAAACGCTAACCAGAAAAAATCATTCAAACCATATCAGTATAGGTAGAGTTTAATGGGAGTTATGGAGTTTGCACTGATTTTTTCAAAATCGCGAATTTATCCTAACTAGAACATCATTGAAAACTATGAATCACTGAATAGTCTTTGTAAGCTGCTCTTCAACAGTGTGCGTTCACAATCATGCTTTCAGGAATTAAACTCAAAACCTTCCGTCTCTCTCAAGAACACTTAACTTCTAGATCACTGAGCCCCCATTCAACGATGTTAGTGTATAACTTATCATTAGATAATAATATTTAGTATAATCTAGTAATATTTATTGTATTACAGATGTTGAGTGTAAGGGAATGTTAATGAACACATTTATTTTAAAAATTTAGATGATTTTTTAATAATAATTATATACCATTTTGTAAAACTGTTAATAATAATCGGTTTTGTTGGTCGATGAATCCACGGTATTTGTAAATTTGATTCCTATTAAGTTACAATTGATTGGGTTCACAAAAGATGTCAACATGTTTTAGGTTAATGTATTAACAGCCATCATTTGTAATGGGATTAATGTATGTTGGTTGATCGTATTTATCCGTATAATGGAATTCGGTAAATTTCAATTCAATGTTTTCGCCCGTCTATTCAGTTTTATTGTCATGATTATTATTTTGACCATTTATTTTTATTCGGTTCATTGACGATGTGGTAGTTCCATTCTGTAGATTCTACATGGCACTTAACGTGTACGAATTTTGTCGATGATACTACTTAACAACAATCATCTTTATGAATAGTTCTGGGTTTGAATCTATTCATTAAGGGTTGAAAATCATATATTTACTTAAACTTATTGTTTAGATAAACACGTCAATTTAACAACATAATTCTGATAACCTTCGTCTTCTCATTGCATTATCGAAACTTATCATGACATTACTTCCAAGTGGTATTTAGTCATAAATCACGAATGTTTTTGTTACTAGTTATATTACGTTTTACTCTTTTCTTTGTTCCTCGTATTATTATTATCATCACCATCATAATTACTATTCATATTATTATTAATTAGGTATCATATAAAAGATGCAAGTGAAATCAAATTTAAGTGGATTTTTGAAAAACCATCTTCACCAATTCACATACAAGATCATGTAAATATTTATCAAATTGAAGTAACCAATGTGAAAAATGATAATACTATTGGATGTCAAACATGTGTTCAAGGAATAGTCGATGGAAAGTAAGTAAATAAGATGAATAATAAACTAAATGATATCTTGTTTATGCATTATTTTCTTCTTCATTTTTTTTGAAAGAAAGAAATAAGAATAATTTTAATAGTGGAAAGTTTTGTTTATTGAAAGATCATTAGATTGAATTCAAATGGATCATTTATACTTTCCATATGTAGATAGTTTTTGAATAATATAAGATTGATGCAACAATAGTGGTCAATTTGATTTGGTCAGGTTACCGATAAGCCAACTGATTAAATAAGAGAAATAAATATTACTTATCTAAATTATTGGATGAATGTATTTTATTAGTGATATGTCGATGGTTTTATAGTTGTTATATTCAAAACTCAGTTTATTGAAAAAAGATTTTTTACAGTTTCATTTAACCTTAACTACTAGGCTTTTTGATAAGTTCCCCTTCCACCTTTATTTTATTGTTGTACATCGTACCATATACATGTGTGGTAAGTAAAATACTGTAGAGTATGTTACTTCACTTTATATTTATGTAAACTAGGAGAAACATATACCAATTAATTGAATGCTTTCTGTTTGAATTTTGAACCATTCAACATAGAGATTAATTACAATCTTTCCATAGAAGAATTTGAGTGAATAAAATAAGTTTAAACAATTTTGAAATACGAACTATATATTACAATAATTGTAGATTTAGGAAAATTAAGTAGTTTATAGGTATAAATTCACAAGTTTTGTCATGGAAATAGTGTAGTGTGGTCTACTTATATCCATACAAGTAGTATATGGTGTGGGTCAGACATAGAATGTATTTTGGCGGAAGACCGATGAGGCAAGAACTGAAATGAAGCGCAATCGTTTGGAAAATGCATGAGCAATGGAATAAGAGAAGAAACAGTGAAGATTGAAACAATTGGTTGTTAATTTGCAAATTGACTGTTCATTGTTTGGTTATAAGAATTTACTGAGATAGTCTGTAATCTTTGCTTAAATACATTCGATTGTCCCCAACTAGTGTTCTGTTCACTACAATAGTAGTCGAATCAATATGTTTTAATGAAAAGAACAGGGAGTATAACCTTTTTAAAGAAACAGATGAATAATAAAATAATGAATTCACTGTAGAAATCCTTGTTTTTTCTTTACTGTTACATTCCATCTGATTTCAAATATGAATATTATTTATCTGGAAGGCAAATTATTTGGTAAACTAATTTATTTCCATCTCTAACTTCTCTGATAAAATAAAATGGTAATTTTCATAGTTGCAATCATGAGTCAATTGAAGTTAGACTTCCATGGAAAACCTGGAAGCACTGGACGTCTGTTTCGTCCTATTGCAGGACTCCTCAGCAGTGCCTCCTATTGTTTAATCTATTTATGTTAAATAGTTTTGGTGTTTTTTTTCTTCACAATTTGACAATCTATAATGTTGTGTTTTGCAAACTGATCATCTCAACTTATATACTTTTGTCAAGAAACATTGTTTCATTATCAAAATATAGAGAGTAACAGTTTAAGATGCATTATTAAATTTTTTTTGGGAGGTCATCAGTCTGCTGACAGATGTTAATAGGCATTTCCTCCATGTTATATAGTATTGTGGAAGTTCATACCCTTCAAAATATATACTAGAGAACTCGAAGTTATTAACTTATTAGTTGTAATATGTTGTGATTGTTGAAAAACATCTGCATATTTTGTTAAATGAATAACTACAGTAATATTTATTCAATATACTTTGACTACTTAAAGATTGTAGTTACTATTAGCTTTTATGGAATCCTCAAGTGTTTGGACTGTTTGTTTTGGAAGTATGCAAAATTTATAACCAAATATTTCAATTGTAAATTTGTTTTAACCAAATAACATTGAATTTTAACTGTATGAATTCATGCACATTTATAAAAAATGGTTTATCGATTATTCAGATGCTCACTGGAGAAAAGTTTTAAAAAGATTACGAATTAACTAAATATATGTCGACACTTTGGAGTGAAAAGAAGCTATCACATTGTGATTCATAAATCTAGTATACTTATACATATAATGAAAAGAGAAAAAATGTTGTTACAACTGAATTCATAGGAAATATTTTCACAAATGAACATGGAATGACAAACATTGTTTATTGAAAACCATTAAAAAAGATAAATGTTTCAGTAATTACAGTTTGAGTGTAAATTTAAATGAGCAGTTTCTTACAATTAACAATTGATCGATCACTGGGTTGTGTTCAGTGTCATGTGTATCGCGTCCTTCTTAGTGAAGATCGATTCCTACCGACCAAGATTACAAGTACATCTTGCTGATGACTACCAAATAGCACGAGACCTAGGTTCAGTGTTTCCTGTCGACTACCTAGAACCACCATCTTATCGCAACATAGTGAACGCAGTGTTGAGTCACATAGACTAGTAGCCACGTTGCAATTTGGTCGATTGGATTCGATCTGCACGATGAAGAACCTGACACACATGACATTGATCACCACCCAGTGATCAGTCATTTGTGAATACATCTCAGTTCTACAGGAGGTCATTCGCAGCCCGGATAGCCCAGTGGTAATGTCTCTGACTGTGAAGCTGAGTGGCACGAGATCGAATCCTCCAGGGAGCATCAGTTTCCTCAAGATTACAGGTAAACCTTGCTGACGAGTGCCAGATAGAACGAAACCTAGGTCCATGATTTCCTGTCGAATTCCTCTAACCACCATCTTAGTTTCTTACAATGTTGGTTAGTTAATGTTGAGACCATTAACCGTTACTGTTGAGATGACTCTGCATTTTTCTCTCAAGCGACATGACAAGCTCGTTAGTCATCAAGGGGCATTTCAACCAATCAGCGATTAATTAGAAGTTGTGTGAAGTTATGTTATTAAAATAACGAGAATGAAAAAGTCACATGTGGAGATCCTGATTGGCTGATTAACACACTGCTACTATGTTTAGCAGTATTCTAGAACTTTCGGTAAAACTCAAGGACTATTAAATTACTATAAAATCCCTATATTTTCTGTACAGAAAGGAACCCTGTAGTAAAGTGCTTCCCTCGTACTTTGTGCCTTTTCTCTGGTCTTCAAGTCGTTGTATAGTTCTAGCTCGGGGTTGGGGAACTAGCTTAGGGAAGCGAATATAGCGTTCACAATCGACCAGACGTAACAGTTACATATAGTAGATTACACTGAGGCATTTTATAGTTATCACTGTAGGTATGTACAGCTAAAATTATCTAATAACACAATAGTCATTTGGTCTTGTGAAATCATTCTCCATGTTTTGTTACTTGTTTACTATTCCATTAATTGACATTTTCTTTTAAAATAAACCTATTTATTTTATTTCGATAATGTAATGAGAAGACGAAGATTATCAGAACTACGTGATATATTAGCACAATACATTTCGAACAATCTGATCACACATATACTTGTTAAGAACATTTATATATAAAAATAAAAGGTCAACTAGACTGGTAATAAGGTTAAGAAATAGGCAAGGATAATAATGATAAAATAATGTGAAAACAACTTGACACCTAATCACTCTGGATAATAAGCATTTATTACCAGGGTAGGTTTAAGGAGAGAACAAACTGTTTTTGAATACACAAAGGGGGTTTGAATTTTCGTATGGCTAAGGCTTCAATAAACCTTAGTATCTTATGTCCTGTTTCGATTATATGTTTAGCAACAGAGGATGATAGATGTTTATCCTCTACTCTTATTGGGTCATTCGACTGTATTTGTTTTTGCAATCATTTTGGTACATGTTCACCCACCCTAATTTTCAGATCACGATTGCTCCTCCCTATGTATTTGTGACCACACACACATTTAAATTGGTAAACGCAGTGGGATGTGACACAATCGTTTTCATGTCGTCTAGGTTTTGAATGAAGCATGGACCTCGTTCTTTCCTTGATTATGACTTTCGCAGCACAGTACGTTTTGTTGATAACAGATTTAAGCCTCTGTTTCAATAAAAGGCTATTTGAATCACCTCTAAATGGTAAGGTGATGTAGACAGGCTTTTTCTCTACCAAGGCTACAGTAGGTCTCGCTGTGCCCTGAACTTTCCATCTATTGATAAATTTAGGTGGATAGCCATTCCCGATTAATGTCTTGGTTAACAACCTAACATCGTCATCAATAGCGTCATTTGTGCAAATACGACGAAGCCTGTTGAAAAGCCACTTTACCAAACCACGTTTGTATTGAACAGGGCAATAACTATAGTAACTAAGATATTGACCCGTCCACGTTGGTTTTCGAAAAATGGATCGTTTTATTGAGCCATCTTCTCGTCTGTTTAGAAGTACATCTAAGAAGGGAAGCTGGTCGTTCTTCTCCTCTTCACATGAAAGACTGATATGGTTTTGGATAATATTAAATTTATTCAATAGGCAGTTTATATCTTCCTTTCTTTCACCAATTACTAAGATATCATCCACATATCTCTTATAAAGTGACATGTTTTTGATTAAGTCTTCAGATAAATTTTCTACATGTGCCATAAACACATCTGCTAGTAATGGTCCTAATGGACTACCCATAGCGACCCCATCAATCTGGCGAAAGTATTCGCCTTCAAAAGTGAACTGAACTTTATCAGTACATAAAAGTAATAAATCTTTAAGAATTTTTAATGGGATAGGTAAATTAAGGTTGTTTGAAAATATATAGTCACATAAAATGTCAATAGTCTTTTTTAAAGGTACATTGGTGAATAAGGAATTCACGTCAAATGAGCACATAGGTTTTCCTTTGATATTAATGTCACCAATTCAAAAGAATCCTTTAGAGAATACTTACATATACGTCTTCGAATAGGATCCAATAATTTTGTTAACCATTTGGCTAGGTTATATGTGGGTGATCAGCACATTGATAAAATTGGACGTAAAGGAATATTTGATTTGTGAATTTTAGGTAGTCCATATAAATGAGGATACTCTGAACCCATAGGTTTTAAGAGATTAAATTCCTCTTTATCGATAATATTCATGTGAAGCAATTTTTCCAGGTTTGCATTTACTCTTCCCTCTAGTTTGTTAATACCTCCAAATTCAACATCAGGCATGAATTTACATTCATCACTGAGGATGGATAACATCTTACTTTTATATTCACATTTGTTCATAATAACCACGCCTGATCCTTTATTAGGCTTCAACAAGACAATATCCTTGTTTGTTCGTAGTTCTTTTAGTGATTTAAAATGTTGAGAAGTTAATATGCTTTTCTGCTTAGGTCCAACATTATGAAATTGGTGTGCTATGTCCACCAGTTTAGCTTTACACCAGCTTTGATTACTTAAGGACGTAGGGGTTAGAGTACTCAGTTGGTCATATAGATTTTCAAATTGGGCATTTATTTCTAATTCAGACATTTGCGTTATAGGTACTGAGAAATTAAAACCAAGAGAAAGTGCTTCCCTTTCATTAGCAGATAATACAATGGAAGATAAATTAGTAACATACTTATCAGGATTAATTGGGAATAAATTGATATGATTAGTATTAATGCACGATTTTTCAAGCTTTATTCCGATCCTTTCCTTTGTCTTCAAAATGACCGTACTGCAAAAGTTGATGAATTTAATATGGCATATTATAGATATTTCTGTTAATATAGGCAATGCTTGAGTGTGCAATTCGATTAAATTGATAAATTTATCTTGGCAATTATCTATATATGATTTTCACAGTCGAACGAGATTTGAAATATTCGGTTGTAATTTACTTGAACGTAAATTCTTATATAGCTGATTTGGGAATATGTGACTCGACAAACAAGATTTATAAAAGTTCAGTTTCACGCGTTCCGATACAATTTGACATTTAAGGTTGACAAGTTCATCTAACCTCTTTATAGTATGTGCATTTTTTATATTATTATTTTATATTAATTGAAATTCAAATTTCGCTGTCATTAACATTTATTGCTATTTTGTCTTTGTTGGTAATAAAGTTTTGTTTTAAATTAGCATTGTTAACTTTATAATCACCATGACAACGTGATTGAAAATATTTCAGGAAAAGCATTAAATTCTAGCTAAAAAATTGCTAGATTAAATTTTTGAATAGGATTTATTATCTTGAATCTATTTTAGGAATCAATGATAAATTTTAAATAAGAAGAGAATGGTGACATTTACAGTTTTTTTTTGTGAAATTAGCATGAGTTCATTGCGATTTCTATCATTATTTCACTTCAGTTTCTTTCTCACCTCAGTCAATATGTGATATTATATCATCGTCCAACAACTGTATCATTTAATTGGTAAAAACTAAATAATTCAGAAGTATTGTACATTCTACCTGTTCTAGACTCCTTTCCGTGTATGGGATCTTAAATGTGCGATATCCATGATTTTAAAATTAGGTATAAATGGCTTTAAAGCGCTTTAAATTATCCTGAGAATCGTTAGCTGGAGATACTTTGCGGAGATAATACGTAGTATCTCTTATTATGTTTTGTTGCTCAGTAAAGTAAGCTTCATTTTAATAACTTATGTCATATATAGTTTGTAGGTAGTACGAAATGATAATAAATGATTATATATATACGGTCCTATTTGTGACTATTCATCTGAATGTATTGACATTCCAATGTTGATGTTCACACTGGGACTTGAACGCAGCATTCATGTACTGGGTTCTTAATTTCAAATAACCACTAACTTATTCAAGTTATATGGTGTTTGTTTTTAAAAGTGTGTATTCTATAGTTGTCTATATTCAGAACTTGATTTGATCAAATTTTGTGTAAATCTGTTCAATATAATCCAGTACACGCATTTCATCCCATTCAATACCCGTCAACTATAATCCTAATATATTAAAACTGACATCTAAAGCTCTACATTGACGAATCTTCTTAAGTTTCATATAGCCTAATAGCAAATAACAAAATATAATTATAAATATCAATAATTGGAAATTACAACTCTTCTAGTTAGGGATTATTAGACAGTTACCAGCTTTAATAGTGTAATCCAAATGACTTTAATCAAAATTATTTTCCAGAATTTATAATTTCAAAATATTATTCACTATCTCCATGGAAATATTTGTTATTTATTAAGATTAGCTGCATTAATACCAGTTCATAATATTTCTTCTAAAAGTGCTTAACGACTATTCAATTTTTATTGGGTTACCACACTTATATTTATTAAATGGATTTTTATTTCATTTTTACTTGGGATAACTCAGTAGTAAATATTCAAGGCTATGCATGGAACAGTATTTAAGGCATACAATTTCTGTGGTGACCACATTATACTTAGACTGCTAAGTTATAGATGTTTCTATATCATTAAAGTCTGTACCACAATGATTGGTAATATTGGAATAAGCGTATGTGTATGTACTGGTTTTGTTTTTTTTGTTTTTTTTACAAAATAATCAATTCTTTTATTTTATATCCAAAAGGTATTTATTATGTCCCTCTCATTATTTGAGCACAACATTTTACTGATTTTCTAATTTTGATTAAATTCATCATACCAAGTCATCAATTGTTGTACGTGTAGGTACTTTGTTAGAAAAAAAGGGTACCAAATCAATGTGCGATGTAAATAAACATGTTAACAAATCAACAATAATTGATTTTATTCTGCCTTTGATTGAATTGTCTAGGCATCTTCAATCATATCTTTTCTTGTTTGGTGTCGTCAAGATACTAATTAAAACATTTTACAGGACAAAATAATCTACTTACATGTGATTTAAGTTTAAAGACATGAGTCATTTTGTTAACATTTAATTATCACAAATAATCGATTTCATTAGAGTCTAATCTAATCTATAATGCAAGTCTCATTTATAGATGACGTTGTTTATTGGATTTTCAAGTTGTTTTTCAGCTTTTGTTATGTATTGACATTAGAACCACTAAACACCAGTTGCATTCTAGTTTTGACATCTTCAGTAATAAGCATTCACAATTCTGTTGGGGATAATCTTCACGCTAAACAAAAAGACAAGCATTCTGGGGATCTTGTGGAGACTGTCGAAATTCATATGCTTTCATCATAGACTGTTCTTAATTAGCAATCATTCAAAACTAGGAAACACTAGATGTCTGATTTATGCTGGTATGGTATTTCTTATCAATGAGCACTCATGACCAGAACGTTCAGATATCGTGGTGAGGACCTAGCCTTTTAACCAATAATTCGGTATCTAGTGGTTTAAATATTTAACTTCAATCGATTTACAATATTGCACAACCACCTTTTAATGCTATCAGTGAAAAAATAATTCACATCCGACATGATTTGTAGCTCAGTTGGATGATTTTGGTGGTCTCGTTTTCTGGGCTGGATGGTTTGGTCATAGGACTTTTATTGTTCTTCTGAACAACATCATTAGCACACACATCAGGTTAACTTCTACCTGAAGAAGAACAGTGAAAGCAACACGATCTCAATGGTTATTATTTGTATTATTGCTTTAATCTGGTTATCACATTTGGAATACGTAGTTATAACTAAATAGACCAGCCCATAATGAAACAGAATTGAAAGAACATTATTACTATTTGGTAGGATACTTCACTATGATAAACTTGGCAGATGTTTACTTATCATGCAGCGACAATGTCTCTATAAAGATATTACATTGGTAACTGTGGCCTATGGAATCTATAAACCGTCATTAAATTTGTTTTCTCAGTGTGTTTATGCTTAAACACGTATTCCAAAAAATTTGTTTTTTGTGGAATGAAACCGGATTAAAAAATTTCCTAAGTGAAGTAAACCTAATCAGTGATCGAAGATGTTACATGATATTGTTCAGGACCGATTTAAATAATGCTAATGCAATAATTCGTTGTTGTCCCTTAGATTTTTAACTTCTAAATTATTTTATGTTACTAATTCTGTGAAATTAACCATTCTTCTTGAACGATATTATTCATTTCGATAATTTACACCACAGACTGATCTTAGTTAAACGACCCATAACATTTATGTAGCAATCGACAGATGTTTCTTCACATTATGAGACTCCAAGAGAGCGCTCACTCCTGACCCACTGGTGATTGAATACACAAAATTCTGGTCTTTCAGTGAATGCCCAACCTTTAGACCACTGAAACAGGATCTAGTGGTGAATATCTCCACCGTTATTCAATTCGTGATATTACACTAGAACCTTCATATGTCAGGCAGTAGCTAATTGAAGATAATGGAAGATGGCCAAGGAGTTCACCATTTGATGCAGCTTCATGATCTAAAGGTTGAGAGTTCACTGAGAGACCAGAATCTCATGAATCACCAATGGGTCATTGATGAGCGTTCCCTAGGAGTCTCATGTTAGGACGAAATATCCGTCGATTGCTACTTAGTTTTCAGTGGTTGTTCAAATATATTTATTCCATTGTGTAAACCATGAAAATTCAATAATCTTCACAAATCCTCTCAAGCAGTCATTTTCTTTATTTATTTGCAATCTACGTAGTTCAGCTGATTTGGTATAGGAAGTCGAATCAGTGCACATAAGTGTTACGTCTTGTGTTGCTTATGAGTGATTAATTATGCTTCAAATAGTGTCACTAAACTATGTCTTTCTCTTTTCATTACTTTCCTCTGTCGAAATTGAGTTTTATAAATCACTGATTGCTAATTGTGTCTATTTTTAGGTATAACATTTGGTCAGGTTTTATTTTCATTTCTTCTAAGCTTAAATTTTTATTTTTGATCTTGTCTGCTAAACCCTTTATTCACAATGTATTATCCGTTAAATTGTTCTTGAAAGCAGGACAGTATTCATCCTGACTATTCTTTATTTTCATTATTTTGTTTTATTAATTTTATAGATGTAAAACTTGTCCATCTGGTCTGTATTATTCAATACAATATGATGAAATTAATAAAACAAATGTTATCAATTGTACAAAATGTCCAAACAATTCCATTGTAGTTGGTGATGCATCTAGTTTACATACAGTTACAGAAGCATGTCATTTATGTGAACCAGGTACAATTGCAGTGAATCATAGTATATGTGTGACTGATACACAACCAATTACAGCGTCTGGTTTTCAATATAATTTAACTGATGTGATTGACAGGTAAAATTTATAAAGTTTTGGAAAGTTTTTGTTCTCCATGTTCTTTTTGTTGTTCATCAGGACTAAATTAAAGTTTTTTGTTGAAGATCATCGAATGAATGTTTTGAAATTGAGTATATTGATAAGTTGGTCTTATTTTTATGGGAATTGACAATGAATAACGCTGAGAATTGGACATTTTTAATCAGTCGACACATCTCAAATAGGACACGAAGTTGACTTTGTATTCGTCAATGTTTGAATCATAAAGCTATTATTATTTTTCAATGTTGAAGTTAACATTTTCATTTCATCAAACTAGAATATTTCCTTTTTCTTTATAGAATGACATAATATGGTTTTAATAGTTGAATTCATTAATCAATTTAAGCTAAATCACCAATGAAAAGACGGAAGCACTGGGCGGATACTTCGTCCTTATATGAGACTCCTCAGCAGTGCGCATTCACGATTACACACGTGGGACTCAAGTCAAAGACATTCGCTTTCGCGCACGAACACAACCTTTGAACCATTGAGCCGGTATCCAACGGTGTTAATGTCTGACTTCGACCAATCCACAGCATTGCGTCATCGTCCACCATTGTCTACAGTGAGTAACTATCTGACAGCAGACACTGTTGAACTCCACTGGTTATGGATTCTTACTGGGACTCTAGGAAATAACTCTTGGAACCAGTCACTAGAGAGCACATGATGATTATTATCAGAATGGTAATTTGTGGAGATTGTAGCAATTTAATAGTTGAATTATTGAGTCGATTTAAGTTAGACCACCATTGAAAACTTGGAAGCATTGGACGGCTTTTTCGTTCTAGTATAGTGGTTCAGCTTAGATTGACTCATGAATTCAAATATTACAATTACTACAATCTCCACAAACCCCCGTTCTGATAATATGAATTGTTTTAGAATGAACGTACTTGTAGCCACAGGTATACATGTAAAAATACTTTGATTTAAAAAATGTTATTAAGTCTAGTTATATTTTCACTTGCTTTAGAGTTCATCATGTCTCCAGTGCAAAAATGTTTACTCCATCAGGAACAGGTTACTATCACGAATTTCTTATAAGTATGGCATATGGTAAAACAGTCCAATGTATAGAAAATTCTTCAATTTATGTAAGTAAACTTTTTACATAAATTAATATAACATTACTATGGTCTAGATTAGTAGTTTATATTAGATTAAATTTAATTTAGATGTAGTTTTTTGTGACAGACTGATATCGTACTGTGAACCAGTGAAAACCAGTGAGTACTGATCTGGAACTCAGCCTATCACAGATCGAAAGCAAAACTTTGAAGTCTAACACTGAGTACTTTATTTATAAGCCCATGTGTGAATTGTGGAAAAGACTGATGTTTGAAGATTATTTTTCGATTTGATAAGTATTTTCCACATTGTCATGTATTTGTTATGTATGTGACCAGAAAACTATTTTTCTCAGTAAAATTGATGACGAAAATTATATTGAAATTATGAATGCATCAGGTATCCTTTCTTTAATTAACAGCTAAATATTACAAAATAACCAGTCTCATTATTAGTTCGTACACTTAGTGGTATAAAAGTATACAACTAACTGAAATCTTTCGTTAAGAATTTGAACATAACTGTATAGCTATACAAAAATTAATCTTGCTGCACTCTAGTAATTACCTATGACAATTAAATCTCTATAAAATATTATGTGAATCATACAATATTTCATCTCAGTTTATTCTTGAATGTTCTATAAAATGTATGTATATGTATTTCCATCTTTGAATTAAGAAGTTTATTCTTTTGGCCTCTTGAATATAATATTAAAAGATTAAATGTTTATTGGATTGTAGTTAGGTGTTCCTTTTGTAATGTACTCTACGCTAGTGTTTTTGTTAGCAACCTTAGAAATTGTTAATGAATAATCTGTTACTATGGTATCTGAAATTGCTAATTATGGATCAAATGAAAACAGTATCCAAATATCCATATAGGATGATAATGAAATAATCAAAACTGTCCAAATAATCGTGTACACTATAGTTTTCTATTGTTTAAGAATCTAATTACTTTGTAGGGAATTTCCTAAATGAACTTAAAATGTCATGTTTTGTTGGAAACTGGTCATTGGTTACAATCGATAAAATACTTTGAATCTAAGTTTCATGTTTGTTATTATTAATCAACAAAGTTTTATCTATAATTTTCAAAGAACTTTTAACATGGTAACAACTTACTAGAAAATATATTTTCGAAAAAAAGTATACACAATGTTTATCTTAAATTAATGAAAATCACCAACAATACTTTCTAGTTTTTTGTTTCAATAGTTTATATAATACTGATTCTATGTATTTAAATATTGAATTAGATAATGATTTTACAAGCTATAGTATATAATTTTGCTTTCATAAGTTGGTTTGTTAAATTTGGTATGAATTTAAGGTAATTCCCATCACAGTCTGTTATATTTGTAAAGTTGATGAAATCCGGGAAGTATTCAACAACTATATAAGAACTTTCGTCTAAATTAGAACGAATAGTTTCACAGTATTTGGGCGCCAAGTTTGTGTAAGACATTGAAAAAGCTTGAACCAGATTGTCAGACAAAACTGAGATTTTACAAATATATTCTTCCCATTTAATGTATTAAACAACTGTTTTAATTTATTTCTGAAGTTGAAGAGCTACATTGAGGATCCATAATCTCAGAGTATATTTGAAGTTTTCTTATTCATAATATAATAGATTCATTCATATTATTGTTGATAATCAGTAGTACCTTGCTAGTACTTTAAAATTATTTAAAATATTTTGTAGTATTTAGTGCATATAACTACATAGTTATGTATGCAAATTGATCTATCTTTTTTTATAAATCACTAAGTGTGTATGCGATGAATGAAATAGGAATGAGGCCATTGTTATTTAGTTGGTTTCCAATTGTTTATACCATTTATGATGTAACCTATATAAAATAGTTATGTGAGATAGATACACATAAATAGTGTAACTAGTGGGCAAGATAAAATAGAACTTGATCCGCAAGATATAGATCCATGGTTGGTTTGAACCAAGAGCTAAATATGAAAACTCCTTGACTATAATTTTTGTTATCATACATGATAGCTTTCGGCATGATTATATGATGTTTTTCATTCATTTTTATTTAAATTTAAAAATGCAACGAAATACACTTAGTATTGTTTGTTTGAATCTTCCCATTGATGCTTAGAACTGCAACTGGTCAGTCTCTTATTGGCATATGTGCATACTGTGTGTATTGCCTCGATATTGCCTTAATTCACAAGCATTACAAGCAAAGACTGATTCCACTACTATCCACTATCCATCTTTGTTTATAATGCAACGAAATACGCTTTGCCGTAAAAGAAAAAAATCATTTTTAATTGATGTACTGTTTGCATATGATATGATTAAGTTTCTCAAATTGTATTTGACCTAGTTATGAGAATGACTTGACAAACAACACTTTTCCACTTAATAAATGGATTATATTCCACACACAAATTATTATATTCTATTATTACTTACTTAGGTGGTCATCTTGTGCAAATTTATGCGAACCTAATGTTGGTATTTATCAAGGGCTGACAATAATGATGAACTGTATTAAAATAACAATAGTTGTTACACAATAGCTTAGTCTAAACTATCAATACTAACTTCTTAATATTTACCTGCATCCATCCATTGAAGAGTTTAAACGTGTAAGGCTTATCGGAAGCTGTAAAAGTTTAGGGTCTAGTTCCTCATGGGTCCCAGTGGCTGAACAATTCTGTTAATTAGAATGGGTTTTGTGGAGATTTCAGTATTTTATAGCTGAAATCATGAGTCGATTGAAGCTAGTTCACCATGGAAAACCTGGGAGCACTGGACGGCCGTTTCGTCCTATCACGGGACTCCTCAGAAGACCGGTATTTCCTAGATTCGAATCTCACGAGGTGGGATCTTGGATGCGCACTGCTGAGGAGTCCCACAATAGGATGAAACGGCCGGCCAGTGCTTTCAGGTTTTCCATGGTGATCTAACTTCAATTGACTCATGATTTCAACTATGAAAATTCTGTTAATTCGTAAACCTGAAAGTCATTAGATGTCCACTTCCTCTTCACATTTAATGATGTTTCATCTCATTCATCCTTTTTCACATGATATATATATATATATATATATATATAAATATGTAAAGTGTGATGTCTTATAGGTGTAGTAAAACACCTTATATTACTCATCTTAACAAGAATAAAACATATAAAGACATTGTTTTTTCAATCTTTTAAAAGTTCTAGAATAAAACTTAATTGATGAAGAAAATTTATTGATGCACATTTTTTTGTGTCGTCCAAAATCAATAATAGAAAACTAAATCACATAATCAACTATTCAAGCATAAATTTATTCAATACATAAAAATTAAACAAAAATTAAATCATTTAAAATCGATGATTGAATTTGGCGGTTATTGTATTAATATAATGGTAGTTACTAAGTGCATATATATTTTTTTGTTTGAATTGTTTTCTTTCATAGTCTTCTTACCCTATTTTGTTTAAATTTTTATTTGTATTCTCTTAAATAAATAAAAAATTGGCAATTGAATTGTTTGTATTAGAGTGTTTATAATAAATGGTGGTTTGTTTTTTTTGGAAATGAATTTTACATATATTTCGGTTGATTGGTAGATTGATTGAAGAGTACTGTATTTTTTTTTAATCTACTGACCAATCACTAGATTGATAATCAATAACATGTTGTCTAAACCTTTAAAGTTGATTTTTGTTTTAACTCAATTATATTTATAAAATATATGATTCGATTTAAAAGAAGTCAGTTACCCGCATGGAAAGTGTTGAGAGTAATATAACTCTATAACAAATCTTTCATTGATATATGTGATGATCGAATATGCTTTATATGTACTTTTGAGGTTGACTTATGCAGATATGAATGCTTAAATATGTAAACTTTCTATTGTAAATCTGTGACTCTTATAATTTTAGTTCTGTAAATTCATAATCTTTCAGTGAATTCATGAGAATATAGGGTAATTTGAGTTTATTTGGTCGAAATAGACCGGTTCTGTGTGTGATTAATGTTAGTATACAATTGATTTGTTTAAACTATCATTTGTATACACATGCGGATACATGAATGGTTACGATTATCAATTACCTTTTATTATGAGGTTATATGTATTATTAACAGCTTTTTCGATGTGATTATATCATGAATTGCACATTTCAGTTTACGTAACATAGCTGAACTGTTTTTTTGTGAGATGATGATTTATAGGTTAAGAGGATCTATTTGGTGTTACTTCTTTCTCCATACTTGATTAGGGAATTGTGGAGCTTCCATTCTTGTTCTGAACAATATTAACAACACCTCCAAGTAGAAATGAATCTTATACAACTGCTAAATTATTTTTTTATTATTTTCAATGATTATTAATTATGTGATAAATGAATATTGTCTTCAAGCTTAACACTTGGAATCCCGGGAAAAAGTTTATACGCAATATCTGGCAAGAGATTAGGTTCAGATCATTTAAGCCTCGATTCTGCAAATTTATTTTCTCTAAAGAGTGATGATTTTATATGTTGTAACAGGTTTACATTATTAGGAAATCCTGAATTTACGCTAAAGTTTTGTCGAATTTTTTAAATTCAACTCATATCCCAAAACTAACTAACTAAATAATTATCAGTGTGTTGGAAAACAGCCTGAATGGCTGTAAATAGAGTACAAACAAAGCCTTTTGGATAAACACACTCAAATTTCCGTAATCAATTTATGGATGACAAATGCGTAAGATCGATTATTATGTGACTGCAAATAATAATCTTATATTGTTATGACTTATTAATTATCACGTGACATTACTGCCAATAGGAACATTGACCTACACAACCTTGGGCCTGTGCCATACCAATGACATGTAACCAGCCTAGAGTCAACTCCGAATTCTTATTGGTCCTTCTCGTCTAGCTCTTCCCCTTAAGTCCAGAACGCGATCGCCTCTTCCTCTGTAAAAGTTATGTATTTCAGATATACGCATTTTATGTACAAACGAGTCAGACCGCACTTCACTATAAAACATAAAATAATAATTATACGCTATCAAGGCTAAGTGGCTGTGAGTGCGAGAGGCTGCAACTAATAGATTGAGAATAATTTAAGAATGTTAAATCGTATGATGGTTAATAAATTATATGAAAGCTTATAATAAAAGGAATGTGAAAAAATATATAATCTAGTGACCTAATTATCCAATAAGAATAAACGTAATAATAGACCATAAATAATTCTTAGCTGTTACCATTCATTTATTCTTCAATAGGATATAACATATATTCTTCTGGATTGCAATAATGCAGTATTGTCTTGATACATGCCTTTTCAGAGATTGTTATCTATCAGCATTTTACTTTACCTAAGTCTATTACGTTATCATTAATCTATATAGACCATAACAGAAAGCATTGTAAAACAGATCTGTGTATAAGAGGTCATCACTGAGTCATGAATTACCGTAACGATTAAAAAAATATCAGACATACAATAAAAAAATCCCACCATGTTTTTTATATGACTTTAGCTTATAGTATAATAAATTGAGGGGGGGGGAAGAGGAATCTATGGAATGTTTGTGTGGTCTTATTAATTGCGTTAGACTAATAGTTCCCCTATTCGGATTCAATGTCAACAAGAACTTCATTATTTTCGTGTTACACTTGAGGTCCAATGTGGATTCCATTTCTCTATCAATTTAATTTGTTTACATATAAATATTAAAATATTTTGGGCGTGTACATTGTTCAATAAATTTGGGAGGTTTCATAATCAGGAACTGTTACTTTTAAAATTTATTTCTACATTTGTTTATTATTCCGTAATTCACAGTTATGTGTGGTATTGCACATACATACATATCTAGAATTCAACAACGGCATCGTATTTATTATTTAACGAGATCGGACAGCAACTTTTAAAAATGAACTATTAAATACATTAAGTTAGCAAGATAACTGTTGATATCTCTATGCGAAGTGAAATTTTGGAATCATTATTGTAAATAAGTTATTTCGAAAACGAATGTCATTGGTTCCGTTGTTATGAAATTATTTATTGGGAATCAATTTCATCAACATTCATTTGTAGTAATTTGTCATAACAATTTTCGTTTCTTAAAAGTTTTTTTGAGAAAACGTTCTTTAGTGAGCATTACTAGTGGAAATGATAACACTGAGTTGGATTTTCTGTGCGCTATTTTAATGCGAAAATTCGTTCTTCTTATTTATCGACACACAGGCGAGACTCTAGTTTACGTTCAAACCGATCAGATTTAGGATGACAGGTTTTGTATTCTGGTGCGAAATTCATTCATCTGTTTGGCTAAATGACGTTCTGGAATTTCAGCTAATGCCACTTCGTTATGAAAACTCTAAATCTGATTACTAACCCTAACCATCAACTGTAAATCGTAATTCTAGTTCCTCACACTGATTTATCGCTCTCATTTAGTCCTAGTAAATGGACATTCTCAAGGTCACTTTTACATCCCTCAAATGCCGACCATAAATTGTAATTTCACCGACACAGAAAAGGTCCTTTATGATTTGTCCATAAAACTGAGGCAAACGTTTGGTAATAATCAGCTTAGAGGTTATTGAATGTTACTAAGATCATGAATTGACCAAATTTAGCCATCTATCGAAAGCTAGGAAGATAATAGCATATGTTATATCTTATTATGGGATTCTCCATCAACGTGAACCTACAACCCTCTGCTACCGGGGATGAAAATTATAACCTCCGGTTTCTCAACAATACACCCAATCTCTAAACCATTGAATGTAAATTAATGAGTTGATTGAAGATGAACGTATGCACCACTGAACACAGTGGTCTAGAGATTAGGCATTCGCACGTGAAACCAAAGGTCTTGAGCTTGATATTGATAGGGTCATGGAAGCATTTCATACTAGTACGGAACAAAAGTCTAGTGCTTCTTGGATTTTAATGAATTGTTTACGTAAATGCATGACATTGAAATATTTGATACACTAATTTTACTACTTAATGATTTTGAGTAGCACGAAAATACCTGAGAATTACATGTACAATCATGTAAGAGCGGTAGTAACATTATACATTAACAGTTTGTGAATAGTTTGTGAAACAGGGACAGAAAAAACCGATTTATCGATGAAACCCCTCTCAAAAATCGTTTTTTAATAGGTTCATGTCAGAGAATCCTTATGGAATGTCATTATGACTAAATGTCTTGATATGAATTTGATTGATTCCACCTGTCATTATCTCATTAGAACTTACATCTGACGTTTGTAGACAAACGGTTTTCATTAAATTAGAAGACATTCAAGTCAAAGTTTAGACATCGAATGAGGATAGTTGTACTAAACGATAAAACTTACTATTTTTAAAAGTTTTAGCTGATTAATTAATAATAAACACAAGAATATCATACAGATCATTATGAGCAGCTAGAATGTCCAAGAACAATACACTGATAGAGAGCCTTTAATATCTAATATTAATTAACAGGAATTGTTACTAAAAGTAGGTTGAGTTCTTGTAAATTCATGTTGGAATGAGCGTTTAAGTGCTTTAGGCTATGAGACTTAGAACTCGATATATGAGACAATTGGTTTTCAGCCTCTCTAAAACATTAGATAATCTCAATAACAGCAATTGTTTGAATAGTTTTCTACTCCAAATGTTAATTACACGCTAGCTATTCAAGTCCTATTAATTGAGATTTTATCAATGAGTTGTAGACTAAAAACTACACGATATAAAATGCTAATGGATAAACGAACTGTTAGCAAGCTAAGTTAAGATGTGAAATTTACTTTAAAAATTATTCATGTAGTGAATAAATGGTTGAGGAAAAAAGGGCACTCAATTTTGTAACTATACTACCATTCAGAGGTAATGTCTCTGAAAAGCTAAAATAAGCTAGGTTAAATTGCAACAAAGCAACAATTTGTCAGTTAACGTGAACTTCGGGAACTTGTTATGAATACATGAACTAATAATACCAAACTCAATATTATTATGTTTTGTTGAATTCAATACTTAACATACTGATTTTCTACAATAAATATCGTTTAGATATAATGTTCTAATTGCCTATCTCAAGTAGGTGATAAAAAGATTTTCAACTGTAAACTTTTATATTAATTATTTTATTACTGATAAGTAGTAAAGTAGTGGAACGACTTTTTAGTTTGTCATTTTATTAGTATAGTGGAAATTTTCCTCTGTTTTACTGGTGTAAATTCAACATTGTATTCACTTCCTTTCTATCAAAGGATCAACATACTGTGAATGCTTCAATTTGTCGACACACGAGATTTGAGGCGTCCAATCCAAAGCGTACAAAAACATATTCAAAGCCAACAAGGTATGTAATTAATAACTACAAATTGTTTTTATCTATAATGATTGGTGACCTGATGATTTAATAAATTTCTGCATCAGTTACATTTTCAGAATCGTATATATTTTAATGAAAATGTCCCTTGAATTTCTTTCACCTTTGGGTCTAACAAAATCTATGGTATTTGCATATTCTGTTTATGACTAGCGGTGGAATACAGCGTGAGCACTTCATCCTACGTGAAGCTACTTAACTAAATGTAGCTTTATCCTGGTGTTGATGTTCACACTCACTTTTGGGTTCAGTGCTCCCAATTTTTTATCCATCCACACAGTGGTCCTAGATAGCCACTAATTATAGTTAGTATGTATGAATGTGTTAGCAAATATATATTCAGTTTCCCCTTGTTAATATACAAGACTGTGATTGATAGATATTTATTAGTATATGTGGATCCTGAGAGACGTTTTTGAAATCAATTAATTATGCAATTATTTTTGCAACTGACAAATGGATTTGGCAGATTTTGTGTGCAGCTATAAGCTACTTGATGGTAGACTTTAAAAAAAATCCATATTGAGAATTAATTGTGTGTTTTTTCTACTGTTTTAATTAAAGTCTTTCGTTGTTATGATATTTTAAAAAGGGCCAGAGAAGAGCGCCAAATTATTAATGTTTTAACTAATTGAAATATTTTAGCGAATGGACAGTGAAATGGTTAGTGATACTGTTATCGGAGTCATGATTCTTCATATTGTTCTAGACATATTGTTCTATTCATACATCCAAACAATATTTTATAACGACGGTATATTTTACTGTCCTATCTTAAAATTTGTAATCATTTCGTTATTATGATAATTTTAGACTAGCTGATCGTCTTGTTCGTATGGTGCCCAGTAATGTGACACTCGACTTTTGGCAAGAAGTAAACAAGAATTTGACAAAAGCAGGTTGGATGGAAGACAGTAAGTATAATTACTCTTTTAAACTGAGTAATAATAAAATAGTCAACTTTGTATACAGAACTTATTATGAAATGCAAACAAAAGTGCTAATGCATATTGTAACTGTAGCCAATTAATGCTATTCATAATTTTTACTGAATTTTAACTGTATTTCTTTAAGGTGATAGTCGTATTAATAAGTTTTAGCTACTGTATTCACGTTTTAAGCATACAACAGTATGAATAGCTGGTTTGTACTTTAAATCTCGGTTCTTATATTACTATAGTTTAAACTATTGTTTATTAGTATCACTAATCATAACAAATTGTGGTTTAAGGTTAGATGTACAAACCAGTACCTGATTAACGAGTTATGTTAATGATCTCTGCTTGCAGATACTTGAAATAAATTTAAGTAGTTCCGTTAAACTGAGCGTATTAAATGTACAATGTGTTTATCACACACACACACTCTCTCTCTCGATTAATAATAGTGTCTTTCGATAATGCAATAAGAAGACGAAGTTTATCAGAATGATGTATTGCGCAAATAAATCACATAATTCTGATAAACTTCGTCTTCTCATTGCATTATCCAAAATTTATCAAAGAGACTAATTGTTTTAATAATAGTGTATTTAAACTAAATAGCCTGTAAACAGTTATTTTTCATATTTTGTAATTCTTTAAGTACCAAGGATTACACAAATCACTTGGGATCATTAAATGATTTTGTATTTCTTGATTGGAAACTTTGAAAATCTACTCCTTGGTAGTTTATTATGATCAGAATATAAACTGATGAATATTAAATATATCTAGGATTTTTGAAATATTCATTCACAATTACTAATTTAATATCCATTAAGTATCTAAATGTTATGATTACATATAAAATTGTAACGAATCAACTCCTTAATTAACCGAATAACTTATATGTTTTACATACTTTAATCATTGTCATAGAACGAAACATTCACCATTCAGTATCTATGTGCTCTATCACATACATACGCACATACATACATACACACATTCATACATTGGAAAAGAAAACAATATTAAGTGATCCCATATGTAATACTTAGTAGAGGAAAAGTACAATCAATAGACTAGTTATTTATGTACATAATTAATTCTCAAGAGTGAATTGCTACAGACAATTTAAATTACATTTGCATATTTTATAAGGTAACTATTTTTTTCTTTTTTCTTTCTTCCTGAAAAATATATTCCTTATTTATTATGAATCTCAATGACTACTCAGGGTGTTTTTTTGCCGTACTATGTTATGTATTCATTTCCTTTTAATAAAGTTAAAATGTGAAATGGGATTGTTTCAGCTTCTTTTTTTTATTGTCATATTTCTTTTCTTTCGAAAAACATGATTTACCTAGAGACTTTTTGTTTTTCATCTTCTTTCTTATAGAATATGGTAACGATTTACATTATATCTTTGCTTCTGATGAGTAAGTTTAAATAAGGTTGGATTTTATTTAAATTTTTTAAATATTGAACTATTTTGACCCTTTTTTCTAAACTGAATGTTACATAAGAATAACACTATGACACGTTTTTTTAATTTAATGATCAAGATCAATGATCAGTAGTTTTGTAAATGTATTCAAAGAGATGCCATCTGTTAATGCATTGAATGGAGATGAGTTTGAGTTTATTAGCTAACAAGTATTTAATTCAAGGGCTTCATTAACTACTGTAATGAATCGAAATGAAATCGATATGTCAGTGTTGTGAGTTGAATTAAATGATGATTACTGCTGCTGGTACGATGTTTACTTTGATTGATTAATAACTAGAAACAGCTACTTAATGCAACGGAAGGAAACTACAAGAAAGAAAAGAAGACTATAAATGGACTGAATTACTCACGAACCACTAATTAAACGATATCCAGAAGAACAAATTACACATCATTTTAAATGTTTAGGTCAATCAGTTAATTTGAATGAGTTAAACTAAATGTTTATCAATAATCTAACGTACGTATGGAATTTGCAAAATCTGCAATTTGACTGACTTAACTGAGAGACATAATTAATCTCTAAATGATATATTTGTTTCCTTGTTACCATCCACCAACATTGAAAATTTGAATTAGGCATTTGTTTGTCAAATACACATTTTACGTTAAAATTTGAATCTTATGTAAGTCAATAGAATTATTATTTATTTGGTTAAAAGAATATGAGGAATAATGAGTAGTGGACGGAGTTTATTACTTCATCCACCTACTCTTCAATACGATACAAACGCTTGTCTTAAATATGAAAATAAGATTATTTAATACTCTTTAAAGAGTGAATAATTTGGGTCCGTTTAAACAAATGATAGGCGTCACAGAAATATGGTACTTTCCCTATTGTACAAAACGTGATCAGTATCAAACTTCTGGTAATTATTTTAACTTTCTCTCTAAAGCCAATCGCTTATATCCATATCACAAAAGAAAAACAAATCTTGAAATAAACATTCTTTTCTTAATGATGACTAGCAGTAAAATCAATAATGTGTGTTTTATCCTGCTTAGGACTACTTTGTTAGAAATGCTTCTATTTCACTGTTCATATGTCGCAATCAGCGTTTTATTTTCCATGAAATTAATTACTTATGAATTTTTAATTGTCAGAATATAACAATGATGGTAGAGAGTATTGTTGTTATATGATTTAAGATAATTCAACTGTACAATATAATATGTTATTCCTATTGGATTACTAAAACTATGTATCCAGGTAACAGAATTTCACTGATAACAAGGCAATGTATATATGCATATACCATGTATATATTCTGTACTTTTTTGAAAATAATTATTTGCAAACCAAAAAATTAACAATTAGAATTATCAGGTAATGATATTTTTTAAACAAAATCTTTTTATTTACTTTAAGTCATAGTTCCAATTGTCCTCATGGACGAACTACAGTCATCACATTACGATGTGTATTCACTCAGAATTTCGAAACATACATGTATCAAATAAAAGATTTCAGTGAATATATAACTGGTAAAATTGAATTACCACCATTGTGTCCAGATGGTACTTGTGATGGATGTACTTATCATTTTCTATGGACTTCAATGTATGGTTGTCGTATGTGTCAAGAAGATGATTATGAAAAAATTCTTGGTGAATGTAGTTATGGTCACAGACAGGTTCATCTTCGTGCTCCATGGTAAGTTTAATTAAAATAAAAGAATTATAAAAAATATTATTTTTACCACTCAGTCAGTTAATCAGTCATATACAATGTAGAACCTAATGCATTATCATAGCGAATTCCAGATTAGTAATGGTAGTAAGAGTATAAATGTTAATAGAAAAATTAGGCATTAAAGATACAATTCGAAGAGAAGGAAATATGAATTAGTAGAGTAAAGAAAGTTACTTTTATTACAATTAGACAATAATTAAGTGTATGTTAATAACTTGGTGAATTGCCAATTATGTTACTTTATATAGACGTTAAACAGATTTTTTAATTAAGTTGGTATGTATGACAATGTATTGCTTTAAACAATATAGATTGACAACAAAAACGACTGTCTTTGGGAGTATCGAAACAAACTAACTGGCCTGACACTAAAAAAATGTTATTTAAAAAATATAGCATGCATATATATATCACAACTGATTGATCACTGGGTGGTGATCAATTTCATGCGTGTCAAGTCCTTCTTAGTGCTGATTGAATGCTATCGATCAAGTTGCAATGTGGCCATTAATCTAAGTGGCTCGACGCTGAGTGCACCATGTTGAGATAAGATATATATATATATAACATGAAACTAATGTGAAAATTTTCTAAATTACTTGAGCTAATTCGTTGGATGAGAAAATTAAACATCCAACAGGATCGTTCTACTTATTTAGCCGTATGGTCAATAATTCAAAATGTAGATATTTAATTAACCCATTTTCAATACTAAATAACCATTTGGATTATTTAATCATAAATTGCTATATCCGTGTATAGTGTGTACTTCAGACATATATATACTTAGGGCGTGAAATTCAAATACTCGTCTAAGTATTGTTATTTTCATTCATTTTAGCGGACTATGTGTTTGAAGCATACTTAATTGCTAAATTAAGTATTATTATGGCCTCAAGAAAAAACAACAGAGAAAATGAGTAATTGAGTAGTATTAGAATACTTGAGATGATTTTACATTTTGTCTCTAGTTAAATATGCCTTTTGTCTTACTCAACTATTTTTCATTGAGATTTATAAATAGCCATTAATTTGTCATTAGATTTCATTGGCAAGTTACTATCTTACTCAAGACTTAGCTAATTGAAGTTGACTTAGAACATCAGTGATGTTATCCACTCAATCAATGGTCCCACATAGTCACTAATTTGTAGAATGTATATGAAATAATTAGTAAGGATTTTGTAATTTCTGGTTATTGATATTTAAGAATGTACTTAATTAACCACTGTTACCAAATGAAAATCCTGAGTAGATCGTCTCGATGTAATCTGATCTTGTGTATTCGGTATTTCGCTAGCAATGATGTTCAGAATTCACAAGGTTTTAACACAATACCATCATCATAGTAAATGAAAAATTATCATAATAAGTGATATGATAATTAATTAGAAGAACGTTTGATATCTAATTAATTTAACTATAATGTAAATTGAAGAAATAATGTTTGGAAGACTGTTTTGTGGCGATTTTATTAATTTTATGTAGTTGAGATCATGAATCAATAGAAGTTAGATCACCATGGAAAACCTGGAAGCATAGGACGGTCGTTTCGTCTTATTTTGGGACTCAGCCGTGTGCATCCACGATCCCGCCTCGCGAGATCCCAACCCAAGACCTATCAGTTTCTCGCGCGAGCGCTTAACATATAAGCTACTGAGCTGGTATTCAACGGTGTTAATGTTTAACATCAACCAATCCACGAAATTGAGCAACCGTCCACCATTGTCTTCAGTGAGTTACTATCTCACAACGGACCCGGTTGAACTCCACTGGTCACTGCTTCTCACTAGAAATCCAGGAAATACCTCTTGAAGCCAGTCACTAATGAGCATATGATTATTACCTGAAGGGGATTTTGTGGAGATTTTAGTAAGTTTATAGTTGGTCTAGAGGTTGAGCGCTCGCGCGCGAGACTGATATGTCTTGAGTTCGAATCTAGCAAGGCGGGATCGTGAGTACGCACTGCTGAGGAGTCCCACAATAAGACGAAACGGCCGTCTAATGCTTCCAGGTTTTCCATAGTGGTCTAGCTTCAATTGACTCATGACTTCAACTTTATAATAATATTTAATTGCAAATTTTCGAACACTACATTAGTTAAGTCGATTTATTTATATTTATATTCAGTTAACATTTTCAATTATTTATTATTATTTATTTCTTTAAACACTGGGTAAATAACTTTTAATTATTTTTTGTTTAGTCATATGAAGAACGAAAATTGTTTTGAACTTTCATGATTTAGGCGGAATTATTTAATCTAGAAATTCTACACTTAGATATAAGATTTCAATATGTTAGTATTAGAGGAGAGTTAGAGTAGATCAGATTGTTGTGAGTGTATATTTCTCCAGAAACTTAAGTCAACTATTATTCTATAACTTTTATTGTATGAATTTCAATGAACTGGAGTTACCGAGCTTAGCTTTTTTAAAAATTAATATTAATGTTATAATATTCATCAGTTTTGATGAGCCAACTAAGATCATTTACCTAATGTTATTAACTATTCTTGATTTGCTCACTCTATTAGTTAAAAGTTTAAATGATTAAGAATAATGGTGGCCTTTCTATCTGCTGCATCGATCACAAAGAGAAGTGATTTTTTTAATATATAATTTATTAGAAAATAATGAATAGTACTTGTTTTCTGTTTTATAACTTTGTTAAGTATATAAGGAGTATTACATTTAACCTGTTATGAAAAATTAATCTTCTTCTATTCTTCCATTTTATTTCATAACAGGGAATGTCGAGTTCCACAGGACAGAAATCTTACTCTCATTGAACGTTGTCCACTCCTGTCTAGATCTCAAACAGCTGCAGTTCTATTGACTTTAATTATTTTAATTATTTTGGGATTGATCATCTTCATGTGTCATCGTCGAAATAAAAAGTAAGTTGTATGTTTTTGAATGCCCGAATGTGTACGAGTATTATTCACATATAAGCTAATGTCTATGATGGACTATTCTTAGTTGGAGACTTATTAAAAAAATATGACATACTGAACAACTCTTTAGTTGATGTTTGAGACACCTCCCTAATTAACCTTAAAAATAATACTTCTAAATCTGGTTTACCAGTTGGAAACCAATATCCATAAGTGTATTATGGCACGTCGGTTCTGCATACCTTCATAAGAAAGCCACTGTTATGATTCCTATATACACTGTTACTAGGTGTTTTCTGTTACCCAGTGCACGATTATCATCATTTTTTGAAGATTATATCTGGTGGCGATACAGCCTAGGTAGTATCTTGGTAAGTTAAATTATGTTCGAGGTAACTATCATGCTGCTAGCACAATGATCTTAAAACAATGGCGTTGGTGGTCCGGATATATTTTGTGATGTTCATCTCAGGAGCTTCAATGTTGAACATTATTCATTCACACTGGGTAAAAAACCAGATAGGTGGTCACTATATTTTATGGCACATATCTCTGTGTAGGACTGAAATCGTGTCGACATCTTAGAGATCATACAACTTACTGGTTTTAGAAGTTATCATACATCTCTCAGGAGAAAAACCATAAAAGAACCTAATTCACTTTTGTATTGTGTGTTTGAATCATTCCATAATTTACTGAGTGGTGATAGCCACTAGGTTGTGTAATGGGGTGAAGTGTAAATTCACTTGGTATTGTTTGTTTGAATCTTCCCATTAGTGTTTAGGACTGCATTTGACCAGTCTCTTATTTGGATCCAGGTACGTCCGTCTGACGAGGTCCAAATAGAACGAAACGCGCGTCCTGGATTCCACTACTAGCCACAATCTATCTTTGTTAACCATGAAAGAACCTGTTGTACCTTCTTATCAAATTCTTCGTAACAGTGAAATGAATCGGCATATTCGAAATTCCTCTTTGATATTATTTAGCAAAATCAAAATTATAATTTTTATGTTGTATTCTTTTCATGTTCTAGTGTGTGTGTGCTATAAATAAATTCATATCTTGTCAAATAACCATAATGATTTGACATCGTATTGAAATTTATTTTCTATGTTAGACGATTATAAATAATTGGTTGGAAGCTATTTAGGGCCTTTGACAGTTGTTAGCAAGAGACATCTATAAACTGAGGGAGATCGATGATTCATTTGTGAGTTACTCTTATGAATCGTTATCACAATCAAAATTTAATGATACAATTCATTTGTTAATTATAAATATGTTCAGTCGTATTGTTAACTGTCACATCTTATTGAATGATTCTAGACAGTTTACCCGTTTACTCGTTATCTTTGTTGTCTATAAATGCTGATACACTTCGTAAATTATGGTAGGTGGTGCTATTTCTTTTATTATTTGAACCAAAAATTATTCTCTTCCTTTTTGACTACAGTTTTATGTTTATTTGTTTTATTAGACTAGAATATAAATACATGAAACTTGTTCAAAGTACGTCAGGGAAAAATCAAGTAACTAGTTGTGCATTAGAAGGTGATGGTGATATGGATAAAGGTGGAAGTATATATTACACTACAATGAATAATAATAACAGTGACAGTTATAATAAAACACGAATTAAATCACCTCCAAGTTATGCTGATTCAACTGGAGTCGTATTAGAACCAAATGAATTTTTGAAAAATGATCATTTCACACAAATGGGATTTAAGGGATTGCCTAAAGTGAATCTTCCACCGATTATCTACAAGGTGGGATTATTTTTGGGGTATATATATATATATATATATATATATAAGATTTTGATACGATTCAAAGTTATCTTTCAACATAAACTGGTGAATAATTTAAAATAAAATCAAAGAATGCAAGACAAATAATTGTCCTGGTTTAAAATGTTTATTAAATCACCTTACTGCCTAGAAATAAGAGGTTTGTTCTTACGTAAGGTCATGTGTGTTTGTAGTGTTGATGATCTAATCCTGCTGCTCCAACACGGATGAAAGAGGTTTCTTCATTTTCGGTGATTCTTCAGCTGACATAATTTTATGATGGAAATCATCTTCAGATCAAACTAATCTATCAAAGTTCTAATAGGAAGAAATTAATGCACCAAAAAGAAAAGGTTTTTCTTTGTTATCGCAAATTTAATCGTTACATCTTTATTAAGTTTATTATTATTGGCTTTATTCAGTATTTTATTTTTGGCGTAATATAGAATTCTCAGCACAATGTATTTCAACAAGTTTCCGTTTCTTACTTCTTGGTCGATCCTGACGATAAATATAATGATCGCCAGTTAGACGTTAGCAGCCTAATCAATCGACATCTAAATGATGTATATTCTCTTCGCCATCATATTACCAGCAACCACAATATCTTTGATTGGGCCTTTTGTAACTTGTACAACGAAAGGTTGAACACTTTTCATAAACGCACCTGAATAGGTAGTGTATTACAATAAAGGAAATTAGATAAGTTGTTGATGACAGGATTACAGGAACAGGTAGCCCAGATGTTTAAGCAGGCCGCCATTAAATCTTAATATAGATATTACATTTGTAACATCTTCAATCAGACAATAACCGGTATCAGCGAACATGAATACTCTAGTTAATGTGTCCAAAAATATAATTTTTGCTGTTAACAACTAATAGTTGGATCAATGTATAAATCCAATTTTAACTAGAATCTGTTAAAGATTTCAGTCATAATAAGAAATTGCAGATTTGTTGTTGTTTATAGTAGAAAGGGTGAAATTAAACTAAAACTTAAATTAACTGAAATCTGTACTTATATTACTGTGTCTATATTTCAGTTACATCTTCTTTTCCCAATTAAAAACAAGAATTCGATTCATTTTGAATTTAAATTAGCCTCCATATCTGTGTTTCTCTCTTTCTATGAGATAGCACTGGTTTCATTTTATTCTACATCAAATTAAGATCTCTTCTAATTATAATGTAGAGATAAAAAGCATTAAAAAAAATGCGATACATTTAAACAATACAGTCTTAAATCTGAACGTTTAAAAAGTGTATATATCTCTCTTACTCAGTCTGAATAGTTTAGAAAGAAAGAAATTATTTCGTGTAATTATATAAATACACAAATACAAAAGCAGAAAATAAACCATTAAACGTACACTTTTAAACAGTGTCATTTAATCCATTGACTCTTTCTGTTGTTTTTTTTGCCTTTAATCCCTGATCTGATTAGCGTTAAGGTGAAATTAGAACACAAAATTGCTAGTATACTGAGATCGAATAGTATGAGTAGACGAAAAGGAGATATAAACTGAAAACATTGATTAAATAAAAGACGAATTGGGTGATTTATGGGTTTTTTTGTGGTTACTTTGATATATAGAGGGGATTAAAATCTGTTTATATAAAGTATATACATACAAACAGTATGTATCTATCTAAATAACTCATTTTATTATTATAAATTTTAAATTAATAGTGACCATTAAAATATAGACTTATGAAGTAAACAAAATATTAATTGTACATCTTCAAAATAAACAAATCAGTCAATCAAGATTGACTTATATCATTAGTGTTCATCTTTGTTTATTGGTTTATTTTCAGATTTTTTCAAGTTAATTAACATCACTGACAAATATTTAATGATCAGAAGGGGGTTTTGTGGAGATTTTAGTAATTTTATATAGTTGAGATCATGAATCAATTGAAGCTAGACCACTATGGAAAACCTGGAAGCACTGGATGGCCGTGAATGGTTGCTCAATTTCGTGGATTGTTTGAAGTTAGATAATAACACCATTGAATGCCGGCTCAGTGGTCTAGTGGTTAAACGCTCAGGCGTGGGACCTGTATGTCCTGGGTTCGAATCTCGCTGGGCGGGATCGTGGATGCGCACTGATGAGGAATCCCACAACAAGACAAAACGTCCGTCCAGTGCCTCCAAGTTTTCCATGGTGGTCTAGCTTCAATTGATTCATGGTCTCAACTGTATAAAATATTTAATTGTCTATGAGTATAATTTAATCTAAAAGCAATAGAAATTAGGAAAAAACAAAAAAGGGGATAATTTCATGGTGTTATTATTATGATTCCATTTTAGGACAAATTTAGATTTTGTTCACTGTGTATATCTGTCTTTTATTTTTAACACTGATGAGAAGAGAAAGGATTGTTAACATTAATTTTGAATATTTCATAGTTTCTAGGGTATATATTCAACATGAAGCTTTGTATCATAGTGCATATCAACATAACACATATCTAAGATCTTGGAGAAATGCATATTCTTTATTTGATTCCAATTTGACTAACTTCATGGCTTTTAATAATAACAAACTTTACTACGGAGATATTTGTGTCACAACTGGTCTCTTAAGTAATTAATCAAGGAATAGTAATTCTGTTTGTTAGTTTCATTCATCCTGATTACATTTTTCTGGATTTGAAGATGAAGTAACTTTAAATCTGTAAAGGGTTGTGGAGATTGTTGAGTTTAGATTGATATCATGAATTAATCAACATTAGACCATCATTGAAAACCTGGAAGGACTTGATGGCCGTTTCGTCTTAGTATGGCACTCCTCGGCAGTGATCACCCACGACCCCGCACAGGAAACTTGAACCTAGGATATTCGATGTCGCACGTGAACGCTTAACCACTAGACCACTGAGCTGGCATCTAATAGTGTTAATGTCTAACTTCAACGAGTGTATGAACTAAATCAGTTGAAGGCGTTGATAATGCAGAGAGTAAGTTAAGAACAAACAATATCATATCAGGCAAAAGATGAATGGTCGCACAAGATCATGGATTGGTTGAAGTTACACATAAACACTGTATGATGCCGGCTCAGTGGTCTAGAGGTTGAACGTTCTCCCACGAGACCAAAGGCCCTGGGATCGAGTCCCTTGTGCGGGATCGTGGATGCTTACTGATGAGTCCCATACCAGAACGAAATGGCCATTCGGTCATTCCACGTTTCCAATGGAGGTCTAACATTGATCCATTCATGATATTAATCTAAACCTTAAATCTTTTGAAAACTTGAAAGTATTGAGACGGTAATTTTATTAGTGATGATTGGGAATTTCTAATCTAATTCAAAAGATGTACAACGTTGCAAAGTTCTTAAATTATTTTTGTAATAAGTGGTTTGAACATTAATCTCAGAGTTGCTATTGGTCAAAAGTTTGCATATTATGAGTTGAAAAAGGAGGTAGAATTTTTATATTACTAATAAATAAAAACCTACAAACAATTAAATATAAATAATAAGGTAAAATGAGGTTATTATCAGGTTATAAGTTTAAAAATAAATGTGAACATGTTTACTGACAACTAACTAAATGAAGTCACTCTTATTCATTCCAACTACTCAACTATTCAACCAGGATGTATCTAAATGACGAGCGAGGAAGAGAGGGAGAGACAGTGAGCAGAGAATAAAAAACTTTATATACAGATCTAATGAGTTCACAATAAAGTGTACGACATTCAATATAGATAGTTTTTTTAAGCGGTAGTTATTCCATGAAAAACCCTTTACAGAGTTGAATTATTCCTTTTTTTAGTTTAGGTTATAAATTAATAAGATTCCGAAAAAGGACCTCAAGCTCCTAATTACCGTTTACCTACCACTTCCAACTGGATCAAACTTTGAATTAGCTAGCTCTTTTGTCCAACACTAAGCTTAAATCAGAATCCAATCGTTTGACAATTGCACAACGATAGACACTTATCGAAAGACTTATAAGTTCCAGGTTCGATCATACATGTAGAGTCATAAGTATATTCTACTAAGTCCTACTCGATACTGTTTGGTAGATTTCCAACGTTACTTGGAAAAATCTTCGGACGCTGAATAATGCTGTGGATTTTGTGTCCAGTGATTGTTCAATATAAACATCCCTGAGAATTCTAGAAAACGACAGATTATGTCTTATTTCCTGATTGAACAACTAGCAATTTTGTTACCAGTTTTAACAAGTATTTAGAAACTTCCAAAATATATAGATCACATGTATATGTATAAATATATTTGCTTTTATTTACATGAACGCCTTGAAAGTAAACCTTCTTTTCATACTTCCCACCTTCTTTCGATTGTATGGAGTTAACATGTAGAAGATTTCTAGAGGTTCTAGGAAGCGACTGTAAAATCTATGGTATGTATTCAAGGACCAAACTTATCAGATATCAATTTTTATAATAAAATATCTTCATATCCATCAAATTTGTTGTGGCGAATTCCTATCTGTATTACTTAATGATAAAAAGTTTTTCAACATTCAAAACATTTAAACATTATTCTTTATTATTCTTACGTAATACAATTAATTTGATAAAATAATCTTGTATAAGTCAGTGAAAGTAAAATTATAAACAAATAGTTGGTTTTCAATTGGAAATTGTACCATTGATACTCAGACGACAATTAAAGTTCAGTGTATATCTAAATTAATAAACACATTCGAACTCAAATTCATTTAGATTTATATTTACAAAGTATTGATTCATTGATAGTCGGTCAATTGTTTCGCGAGAAATTCTTTAATTTTAGTAAAAAAAAGAATAATTGTTGATAGTACACTACACTATCTGTTATGTCAAGCCTCATTTTAAAGTTGTTTGAAATTAATTGAATAAGCAGACAAATAAGTGGTAATCTGTTTTTAATTTTTCTCTTGAATATCATTAAAACCACGAACTCATCAAATTTAGACAATCACTGAAAACTTGGAATCACTTACATGCCGTCCCGTTCTAATGTATGACTTCACAACAGTGTACATCTATGAACTTGGATCCCGGAGTCGAACCCATAGCTCCATACTGGCAATTATCATATGTTCACTAGTGATTAGCTTTGGAAGGAGATTTCTGGTGTGCTTATGACAAACATTGATCAGTGGCGCTAAACCATATCGGATGTAAGAAGGATAGGTTTATACATGATTGGATACCAACTGAATGTTTTAGATGTTAAGGGTTTCCGTGTGAATATGACGGCTCTAGTTTCAATTCCTGTGTGTGGGATCGCAAGGATTACCATGCTAGAAAGGAACGGCTATTCAGTGCTTCCAGGTTTTCAGCAATTACCTAACTTTGATTGGTTCGTTACTTAAATAGAAATAAACAGTCTCCATAACCCCGTACAGACAATTATCTTAAATATTTGGATCCATATTCATAAATATCTTTAGATAACTGACTGATTTGTACAAGCACTACCAATCAAATGAATATGTGGTCTCAGAATAAAATAAATATCGATTAAATAGTTAGTTTAACTAACATTTGAGGTTTTTTTGTGTTATACGTTGAATATTAGTAGAATACTGCTATTGGTCAATGGAAATTCTTTTCCTTAAGTCTATCCAAATTTCGATGTTTTTATTTAAATATTGTACTTCTTTTCTTTGTTCAGTCAATATTGGGATGACTATTTATAAAGTTATCTACTCTTTTCTGTCTGTTTTTTAGGCTAAATCCGATACAGACCGTGACATTCTTACAGAGAATGATCATGTTCTATGAAGAAAAAATAAAATGTCACATCCAATAATCAATCATCAGTAAAATTTTATTTTTGCCCACCCCTCTCTAAGACATTTTTCTCATGAAAAAGTAACAAGGTGGCATTGTTTTTCTTTGTTCTACCATATTTGTTTCTAATCGAACCATAATCTCATTCATTTCAATTGAAAAGTTATTGCTTCCTTGTGTGTTTGTGTGTATCTAAATGAATGTGTGTACGTGTGTGTGAAGATTTTGTGTATGTATATCTCTCGCTTTATTCAAAATATGTACACCTGTTTATATTTATTAATCATAGCTATTACTATTATTACTACTACTATTATTTAACACTTTGGTTCACTTGACCCTGATATTTCCCAGGTCAGTTAACTTACATGTTTTTCTAATATAAAAGACGGAAAACATGAAAGGTAAATTATGTTTTACATTTTTCTACGAAACCTTCATGTCTTTTCTCCGAAATCAAGACTATGAAATTCTTTTCTATCACTTTTTTTTATTTGTCCCTAATCATTCTTCTATACTTATCATAATAAGAACAGAAAACAAAAATCTTATACAATCGTTATCCTTTTTTTCTTCTTAATAACCGATATTCATGGAGCATTTGTAAACGGTTTTCTACTCTGTTGCTATTCATTCTTTTTTGTTTTTTTAGGAAAAAAAGAATTTACTGGAAATTTCAAATTACCCTTTCATTATAAATAATAACAATAACATATCATTTTGTGTAACCTTTTGTTGCTTCCGTTTTTTAAAAAAAAAATTGTTTGAATTGAAAAATTCACGTTTTTTTAATGTTTGTTGGTTCATATAAACGAAAATATTCTTTTTGATGTATTTTAAACCTTCATTATTTGTCTTTTTTTTATAAAAACAGAACTTAATCTATTTTTTTTGTGTAATCCATATAGTAACATGTTTCGTTAGTCTGTGTTGTTTTTGTAGAAGGAGGCGGAAGAGTGGATATATTTATGTATGTGTGTGTGTGAACGTATTGTAACGACTATATCACTTGGATATATAGAATTATATATACATTCTACTTACTCATTCCCCACTGTGTGTGTATGTGTGTATTCTTTCTGTTATTATTAACATATTGGTCATTTATACTCATTCATCCATTTTAACACTGTCATTTTTAACACTCCTACAGTAAAGTTATGAATAGAAAAACTGTAAAATTACGTTTTTATTTTTTTCAAGAAAAAAAGTGTACTAGTTGTCACAACAAAACAGTTTTGATACAATACATAAATTATTCTATGAAAAATAAAATGATACAGCAATTTATCGATAGAAAATTAATTATAAATATATTTTACTATTATCAGAAGGAGTTTTATGGATATTATAGTAATTTCAATAGTTGAGATCATGAGTCAATTGAAGCTAGACCATCATGGAAAAGCTGGGACTAATAAACGGCAATTTAGTCTTATTGTGGGACTCCTCAGCAGTGCGCATCCACGATCCCACCTTGCGAGATTCGAACCCAGGATCTATCAGTCTCACGAGGCGGGATCGTGGATATTTTACTATTGTTACATTCATGATCGTGATGAATGAATGAATAAAAATAGGAATGTAATGAATGTGAATTTAATGAATAATTAAATTGACTTAATCAATATTAAGTGTTCATTACATAAGTAATGCCACTGGTATTGAAAGTTGTGATATTTATTACTTAATCAATGTTACATAATATATTGAAGATGCCATAGGTATATGGAGTTTGACAACACCTCAAGCAGTAACACTTATAAATGAATCATGCCCACTCAGTGAAATCAAAGGTTAGAGGCGAGGAGGTTCGAAAGTATATTTGATAGGCCATCAATATATCGAGAATCGATTGATCTAGACTGGCTAGTGATTGCAGGAGATGTTGAGCACGGCGTTCCTACTCATGATCTGGTGAGGATGGATGACTGAGAGCCTTCAGCTAGGTGAATCCATTAAAACTAACGTGGTCAGCTATTGATTTTGGAGATTTATTTACCGCTATAATACGAACGAATATTAAATCAATCAATGTATATGTGGTGTATGCTACTTATATCGACAGACATAAGTATTGTGTAACACCAATCGGAAGTAGAAAACCTGGTAGTAGAAGTCTGAGAAGTTTCAGTTGAAGAAAACACAAAGGAAAGTAGAAAGAAATTGTGAATCGGAAGAATCATACTGTATAGTTCTCATACTTTACCAAGATGCTTTGTATATATATAAATTAATATTCGTTGGAGACTTATTAACATAACACTCAATGGCTATTTATTCTTTTCATTATAACATAATCATTAATGAACGAACTACTGAAATTCATATTAATCATGTAATTGATAATGAATAATTATTTAAATGATTAGGATTAAATGAGTAGGTAATAATGTGTATAGTTTAATCGAATTAAAAATGAATGATAGATTGTATCATAAACAAATCAGCTGTCATGATATAAAATGATTCGTCTGGATAGTAGACTTATAAGCATATGAATCAAGATATCAATAACAAATTACATAATATGTTTGTAGTTAAATCACCCCTTATGTCTTTCTTTGACCATTAGTTTGATTAAACTCCATCAAACTGACATAAATGAGTTATCGGTTGGTCTTTTTTTTTATTGGACTTCCGAATAATGTCAATTTGTGTGGCATAAATAATTTTCGATTGAATATTTGTCACTTTTCTTATCACGTCACAGTTGTACATTTTATTGGGGTTTATAGAATACCGACATTTTCTGTACTCTGGTGGTGAATATAAAATACAAATTATCAATTTACTAATAATAGACTTAACCTAATATACTCCCATGAAACTTCCATTCGAATGCTTTATAGTTGGCAATACATAAATAAATACATAAATAAAATGATAATGATATATCCGAAATTTCATTTAATGTACATGGATAAAACGATCATTTATATTATTGAAAGTAACCTCAGGGTTTCTTGTCTAGAAAGTTTCATCAGAATATACTAGAGTTGGTAGTGATTTATGGTAGGTAAATGTTTAACTCTTAAAGCTGATTTAAATTCACCATGGAATAGTTATTGATTGCACATGGGGGTTTGAGAGTTTTTTATTAATACTCTTCCAGAGATTTATATCAGAAAACAATATTCTGAACATCGCAATAATAATAATAATAATAAAGAATAGAAAAAGGACAGAAAATATTAGAGAAACATGATAAATCTTTCAAAGAGAATTACTTACAGACAAGATTATAGTGAAAGTTTCTATTGAATGAAATTGGTTTGAAAACTGTTCGTTAATCGTCAAGAATGATCACATGAAGTGCAGTAAGTGAATAAAATTCACCAGGTATTAAAAGATATATGTGACGAGAGAGATGAGGTTATATAATATAACGGACGAAAACTTGTATGATAGTGTTGGTCGTGGAGTTGATCGTCTGAATTAATTGAGGATAAATGTGAATAATTAACTTAAGCCCACAATGAACAAATGTTAGATGACATACAACTGTGTAGCAAAGTACCAGGTGAAATACTCATACATAAGTATGATTAAGATTCATTTGAGTTTAAAATTAATGAATAATATGAAAACAACTGTAGTTTAAATCTTTTATTTACACCTACCTGTGCATTACTTACTTACTTATGTCTGCTACCCCTCGTGGAGTGGCATAGACCACCCACCGAGATTTTCCATCAAAATCTGTCCAAGGTAATCTTTCTCAGTTTTTTTTCAAATTTATGTTCATTCTTTCGATCTCTGCCTTAGATTCCTAGCGCAATGTGTTCTTAGGTCTTCCTCTTTTCCCTTTCCCTTCAGCATTCTAAGTTGGCGCTTGTTTCATGATGCAGTCTGATGATTTCTTCAATGTATGCCCTATCCATACCCATCGTCTTTTCCTAATTTCCTCTTCAGTTGGAAGTTGGTTTGTTCTCTCCCACAGTAAGTCGTTACTGATGGTATCTGACCAACATACATTCAGTATCTTGTGTAGACAATTGTTTATAAATACCTGTATTTCTTTGCTGATAGTTGTGGTAGTTCTTCAACTTTCAGCTCGATACAGTAGGACGGTCTTGACATTCGTATTGAAAGTTCTGGGTTTGTTGTTGGCTGACAGTTGTTTTAAGTTCTATATATTCTTCGATTGTAGGAATGTTGCTCTTACTTTACCAGTTCTTGCCATCTTATCTGTATTGGATCCTCAGTGTTTATCGGTGATGCTGGATCTGCAAATTAACGAATAATTTTTGCCACTTTCTCATTTGTACCCCTCAAGGCTCTCCAGCAGTGATATTAGTAGTCTTAGAAATTATGTAATCGGTTAGGATTATTGTACGGTGATTGCTCTTTTGATAAGAATGAGCTCTAGTAATCACGCTATCATTAGTTAAGACTCAAGTTTGTTTTTCAGTATGGTGTTTCTTTATATATTTGGACGACAAAACGTGTGTACCCATACATATGAGGCACATATCTCGATAACATTTAAGTCAGTCACTCTTTGTCTAATATTTATGGTCGTATCATCAAAACTTATCGTTGGAGGTGAAGAAAAAATAAACCAAAGTGTTTTTAATAGCAGCCATAAGTAATTATTAAGTTCAGGTTTCATAAGTCTCTTACCAATCAACAGATTTGAGGATTTGAAATATGTTTCATTTATAAATCATCACATTATCATTACTCCAATTAAATCTGACAAGATCTTTTTTCGTAATATTACTGAAAATAGTTTTAGCATTTTTCAAGGAATTTTTCTACAAGGAGGTTTTAAGATGACATTTTAGAAAAATGTTTCAATTCAGTTAATTTGCATTCTCAGCTATTTATTAACCATCAGTAAAATGTAGTGATATAAAGAACAGTGGATGGTGAAAACTTACCAGGTTGTGATATAATTGATTTATATGACGAAAGAGAAAAGAATATATTACACATAATAATGCTAATAATAATTTGTAACCAGTCGATATTTTTATAACAAAGCA